TTTCACACGATAGCAGCGATCTCAAAATATTTAGTTATATTGCAAGAGATGGCAGTACGGATACGTTCAAATGCTCCGTGTTCAAAAGCAACAAAAAGGTAAGTTCCGAATTTTCGATTAAATACGGAAGAAAATATTTTTGAAAAATGTTCGTCACGAAAAAAACTTGGATTCAACCAAGTGACCAAAATTGATATGGTCAATTTGGAAGCGACAAATGGAAACACGACACACACACGCAGTCACTCTGTGTGTATGAGCGAGAAAAATAATAGAGCCGAAATAAAATACAGAAGAAAATCCACTCTTATTTTAACCTAATTCAGTTGAATTGTTGGCCGATTTTTTTTATATACACAGATTGTAGAAATTTATGACCACTGAATCTGTGCCTTACGTTTATTTGGGAGTTGCATCATTACTCATTTCACTTTAACAAATTCACGTCGCTCGCAGTTTTCACATGGTTTCATGGTTTTCTGTAGTGGTTTCACCCGATTTTTTCTTCCTATTTTAATAGAAAAAACACACAATTTTGCATTCTTGCTACCACGACATATGGATTTAGTGAGAAAAAACCTTGGTTCGCCTATGGCATCGTCATTGTTATTCATAGTGTGTTTTTTTTTTGTTTTTCATATCTGTTGAGTAAACCATAAAACCAAACAAAATACGTGCACTTTGTAGATTTAAGTTTTTTTTCAGTAGGATGTAGGAATGCTTTCATTTGTATTATCCGGTTGCCTCATCAAATTTTATCAATTTTTTTCACCGTAATTGAGTTGATACATTTCGACAATCGCTACAAAGGCAATAATTTTACCTGCATCCTGCAAAGTGTGTATTTTTCTAGTTACTCTACAGGACAGTACCAAAACCGAAAACGAAAATAAAGAGTAAATCATATTAATTACAAGTTATTTACTTTTTATGGAAAAAACAACACAAAATGAATATTTAGATCAATATCAACATCATTATCCTAACCATTTATCAAACCATCAGATACTTGAGTACTTTTTTTTGGGGGAGGTTGGATTGCTGTAGTAAACAAAACATTATGTTGAAATTGCGTTCCAAATGAGACAGCACACGCATTATTTCGTCATCGTCTATCTTCGTTTTGCTTGAGCGTTCACTGAGCGTTTCATTGGGGATCACATTTACCATTGAAATATCGACTGAAAAATACTTGAGGAAATGTTTTAAGAATGATTTTTTTGGGCAAAAGCCGAGAACCGAACATTATTTAACATTTATATAAATACATATCTTGCCATCCAAAGAAATGGTGTAAACAAACAGCCCAGCTAGAGTAGTATGCCCGTCAAGACACACGATAAAGATTTACACAAGACTACCAAATCATTTGGTCAAAATTATGTAGATGCTGAACATTGAATTGCATCTGTGTATAGTCATGAACCGTAAAAACGATGTACTATCTCAATTGGCTTAATTGATGTTTTCTCACCGTAACGTTTCTGCGATTTTTTTTTTCGTTCTTCTCATTTAAAATTACTTTTTCCTCCTTTACGGTCGACGGAAGACCATGTAAGAAAATATGATGAGGGGATGAGACATTTACGAAGTGAGTTTATTTAATCATTACTGAAAATTCAGTGCAAGTAGTCGCAAGGACATAAACGAAATAAATGCTGTACATTTTATTTGTCATTGTCGAAAGGCTCCGAGAAGTAAGGTTCGCGGAAATGTTTTATTATGTCGATGGGAAGAGGAAGAGAACGAAAAATAAGTGACAGAAGACCAGTGAATCTATTTTATTATCATTTTGAATTGTTTCACGTGCTTCATTTGATTGCGAAAAAAAGGTAGAAAGGTTACACAATCCAATTCAATGTTTGATACTATCCATCGATATACTATGAGCGAAATAAAATGCTACCAAGCGCCCCTATTTCGATACGCAATAGCGAAAATATTTAAAACACGAATTGAATCTTTGAAGCAGTATTTTTCCAAGAACGTTGAACATTAACGAGTTGCTTACTCGCTCTTCGTAATATATTGCTTTCGCATTCATACACTATAGTGTATACAATATAATGCTATATAGCATGTATACGAATTGCGCACAAAGCTCTTCAGTTTGAACACCTTTAATTAGCACTAGATTTGGAATTTGTTATTCGGAAATTGCAAATTCATATAACATTCAGTGATAAATGTGCGTATTGAATGAATGGAGGAAGGAACGGCCAGAAGGTGTGCCACTTTTATTCTGCAATGCATTACTTCCATTGACATTCCAAATATTCATTTATTGAATAAAGTAAATCCTCTTATAGTTTTCGTTTTGGTTTCATTTTGATAATGAACAAATCCAGACGATGGCAACAAATTTTCGGTGACTTTCAACTAAAAACTACTCGGCACTACAAAACCGTCTATATTATCGACGCAAACCTATTTCAAGAAATTGCGTATGGCATGAGAGTGAGAATAAATAGAGACATTTCAACACATCATGACACATGATCCATTAAAGTGTCTATGATGTATTCTTTGTTCAAATGAACACTTACAAGAAGAGCGATGAAAAAGCGAAGAATAAAAAACGCAAACATATTTATGGCATTTGGTTTTATTACATCTGCGCCCATTTGACTGATGCCAATTAAATCATCGTAAATGCTAAGTTCTGAAAATGAAAGCAAAAAATTAAACATTGTCTAGCGAAATTAATGATGTCTCGATGGAATGATTTTGTTTACAATTCGCATTGCCATGTGTTTATTAGAATATCAATTAATAGTCGCCTCATTCAATTTTGCGATGTTCATCAATGATGTATTTGATGTTTGTAATCAATTTGATTGGGCATTGAAAATATTGAATTAAATTCGAAATTAGTTAAATCACAAGTCGCTTTCCATCCGAAATTTAACCTTTAATTTCATCTAATTTGTAATTTATCTAAAACAAATACTTTTTTTAATGATTTTTCACATCACAAATAAACGAAGTCATAAAAAAGCGAACACTGCTCCGTCTACAAAATGGGGACCAAGCCAATTTCAAGTAAATTTTATATATACACCATTTTAACTATAAACTATTCTGCGTCATGTAATTATATGAAAACATTGTTCATGGATTAGTTACTGATGTTGATTTGTCAAAATGAAAATTGTGTGAAAATAAACAACGATCGAATGAAGACCCGAGCGCCGGGATAACGCAACGCGACAAAAGTCCAATTGGGATTCGCTATTCATCACCGTCCATGTGGTCTAAGAAAAGCATTTTGATTTTTCGGTTTTACTTTGGCGCTTTCCGTTTGAATGTTTAATTTTTCGCTTCGAATTTTCCCCACCTCTTATATTTCCGTCTGTTTTTCATTCTCACTATCATTCAAATGTATATAAAAATAATATATTTGTGACTTTCGCTGAACCGGCCTTTGAAAATTTATTACATTTGATAAACATTTTCCCCAACACTCCGGATAATTCAAGCATAAAGCAACCAAATCTGGCGAAAATTCGATTATGATCAGGTTGAACTTTGATATATTTTTGTAATATTACATTAAGACTATAATGCAGAAAGCATCAATTCCAACCACAAAACGATCAACGCATTTAATAGAGCGTTTACAATTCGTTGACCATTCGTACGTATATGAATGACAAACACCAAGCAGAAAAATGATCATGCCACAAATCAACGTCGTTCTGCTCGTGGATCAGAATCGAGTGTGTGTGTGTATCACAAATAGAAATCCGAAAGTCGTACATTCACACACAGTCAATTGACTCAAGAAATAATTATTTTGTATTGCCAAAGCGATTTTCATCTCCTTTTTTTTCTTCGTTGAATGTGTATGAACAGCTGTGTGATTAACATTTTGTCGAGTGAAAAACCGACGCGCTGAACAACCGAACACAACATTTCGCTTTGTGCTCTGTTCGGTGTAACTTAAATTCGCATCTCGTTTATTTCGCTCGAAGCGCGCTGGATTAATTGTTGTATTTTTCGTGAGTAGTGTGTGCGCTTCAAAAAGCAAACAATTCGCAAACACACAAGAAATTAAAAAAAAAAAAAAAAACATTATAAAACAAAAACAAACGAAATCAATTTTTTTAATGTTGTTGCAAGTTGAATGTAAACGAACATCATCAAGAGAAGAAAAAAAGAAGTTTGCTATCAGTGAGAAAAACCAGGAGAAATCACGATATTTCTTCGCAAAAGTTTTCATTTTGGGTTGAAAATGCGACAAATAAACGCTTGAAACAGTGAACCTTGTGTATTTTGCTACATAAAATTGAAAATTGTTGTATTTTCTCCTTTTTTGTGATGTCGTAACATGAAACAAGTACATTCTTCAATTTCATTGCGAAATACCAACCGATGCTGACACATTCACATTGCTAGGAAAACTTTAAAGGAAAACCTTTAATTTCGAAATGCAGTCTCTGCATTATGCAGATAATATTGAATAAAAAAAACATAAGAAGAAAAAAGAACGGCAACGTGCAAAAGCTTTTAAGAGGAATTAGCCCAGAACTCAAGCCGAAACATAACTTATATTATTGTTGTAACTAAAGCATAAACAACAACCGTCGATTTTTAACGGCAAATCGTAAAAGTCAAAAGCACAAACAAAATCTTACACTATTTTCTCATCGTATGATATATGCTCTGGTTCTGTTCTGTTCCAAATGACGCGGTTCGTTTGTGTTTGTCACCGTGCAGTTTGTAACTTTTTGTTATTTGCTTTATTTGTTGTTCCTTTTTTTTTAAATTCTCTTTCAACGACGGGAAAGCGTCATAGATGAAACGAGCGCGAAAAATAAAAGATACGAAAGAAAAATAACGTTTTAAATAATCCAAATATTCCGCGTGACTTTGAAAAATGTGATGATGCAAATTAAGAAAGCGACAAGAAAATTTAAACGAAAATCATATGACTGAATTTGTTTTTTAAATTATTTTTCATCTCTTTTTGAAATAACATTTTGACGAAAACATGCAATACAAAACGTTTCGAATAAACAAATTATCTTGTCATTATTATACTCATTTCGTTAATTCTTTTAGTTCTATCTATCTCAAACATGAATCGATGATCATTTTAAAAAAATCTTACATTTGTGACAACACAAACAAAATCATTGATTTCTTTCAAAAATCGTAATCACTTTTTTCTCGCACATTTGTCGCATATCCAAGTGACGGCATTGAAAATGAACTTCAAGCTTCGCAAATAGCAAACCGATTTTCTGAGTGAAAAGCCATATACATAACAAATAAATTTTCCCACCACTTGTGAAACAAAATCTATTGGAAATCATACAGTAAAAGGAATTGCAATGTAAACAAGATGCTTTGCATCGCTTGTCAAATGCGCGTCAATGAAATATATATTTTTCAATAAATTTCCGTCCGCCGTCCGACGAAAGCTAACGAAAAAATAAATAAATAAAACAGTTTAGACGAAAAAGTCATAAAAATGCACTAATAATCGTTTAAATGCCATGTGCCACACATAGGTAATCATAAATTTAATGCGATTTTATTCCTCTGTCGTTTGCTCTTTGGTGCTGTGATATCTTCAAGAAAGAAAAAAAAACGTTTTCGTTCATGTGAAATATGAACCATTTTTAAAACGATCAAAATAAAGAAGCTTAGAAAAAGCGTTTCGCTTCTTATTTCTCAGAAAATATGTAACGATTTTGGTGCAGTGTGCGTTGTGAACATTTTGTTTGAAGAAGAACACAAATTGAGCATTGTAAAAAACGAAAGGAGCAAAAAAAAAAATAAGTAGAAAACACATCAAAATTAAATCACAAGCGACATGAAGTTTTGTGTGACAAAAAGTTTCATGCTGCAGTTAAAATGTTTGACCAAATGGTCATAATCATGACTAGCTGGTTTGCTTACAGCATGCCTTTGTTATTTGTTCCATGAAGAAATGCGACCACATTTGGGAGAAATAAAAACAACCATTCCAATTTTACAAGTTTGGCCAAACAATCCACCGGGGAGCACTTTGTTTTTATTCGATTTTATCACATTTTTCACTGTTCAAGTTACACCTTTTTAATGTGCAGTGCGTTTTACTCTTGCCAAAAAATTTTTGTCGTAGACAAACATAACAAAAACTCAACAAAAACAACACACTTGTGGATAATTTGTTTTTTTCTTTCAAAAAACCAAAAAGAAACAATCAATAAAAATTCAAAAACCATTTTTGTGAAGTGTTTGGTGTGAAAACCATCGTATCCATGTCATGAAATGTTGAATGTCAAACAGTGTTGATGACGCATAAAATAAATTGAACACAAACAGCATTTTGGAAAAAAGATGGCAAACATGTTAAACCATAACGATCCATCACTATTTACAAAATCGCCGAAAATTCATCGGCGTAAAATCGATTTTACTGACAAAGAGTATCAGCCAAGTGTGATAGATAGAGCTCGACTGACATTGTTTAATTTAACTGACATATGGAAATCGAAAATTGATTCAAACAAAGTGAATAAATCGTATGACCCACCAAACGCAGCAAATCGTAAAGCGCTCGATGTGCTAACGGTTTGGACGCGACATCGTCGATCGCCATCTGCCGAACCGACCTATTCCACAAAATCTCATAAACGAAGTTTATTCATTGAAAATGACAATGATGAATGCTATTGGCACATCGATAACAAATCGTATGCGGCCAAAATTCCAAATGGAAAAAATAAATCAAAGTGTCATGATACAGCCGATAAAGTGAAATCAAAGCAAAAATTAAACAAAGAATCAAAATTGCATGGTCACCGACGATCTTATGATGGTGACTTGAATCAACTGGTATATGATGTAAAAAATGATGTGCAATTACCGAAACTACGGCATCGACGCGGATCGTGGGGAAATTTAGCGTTCGAGTATCAATGTTATGCCAACAAAATGCATACAAATGATCGGAAACGGGAAAAATTAATTGAAAATGATCAAAATCATGGAAAGAGACGATTGAAGTTTAAAAAAAATAAGACATGCGACGATCTTTATGCCAATGAAATTAATAAAGAGAAACCAATTAAAGTTTTAAAACGGCAAACATCTGTTTTGCCAATTATCACAATAAACGATTGTGGTGACGGTGATACGAACAAATTGAAGGGCGACGAAAAACAAAGTGATGCATCAAAGGATGTAACGATAAAACCAAAGAAAAAACTTTCATTCCGCGAACCAGTCATTTTTAATGAAAAACTTAAAGAATTACGCTCAAGACATGCGCCGAAAAATAAAAGCAGCTCAGAAGATGATGAGAATGTTAACGTCTCAAATGAAATAATGGATGACAGTCAAGTACCGTTTGAGGTATAAAATCAATGGACACTTTTATGTCTATTAGGTCATTTCTAATTTCGACACCGACCAATTTCAATGTTTTCTTTTGCCTTTAAACCAAACATTTTTGATGATTTAAATTATATTTTAACCATTTCTAGTGAAATTCAATGAACATTTTTATTTATCGTCTTTTCTCTATCTGTAGTCACAGGCCATGCGCATCGTTCGAACCATTGGACAGGCGTTTGAAGTGTGTCACAAATTTAGTCTTCAGAAAAATTCCATGGTAAATGCAGACGATCAGTCGGAATCTCAATTGTCGGATCGATACTCGGCTGAACACATCAGTGACGAGGATGAACCCAAGAAAGGTAACCAAATCGAAATTTTCAATGTCAAATTTACTGCAAATCAATCGAATAATAGACGCTATGGATACAATCACTTTTATTTTTTAAAAGAAAACCAATTCATGAATAATGTCATATATCATATAGAGTTAACGGAAGAGTTTTCAACAAAAAATATATTAAAATTCAATTTAAACACCATCAATTGTTGTCATGTGAAATGGAAATATAACCGAAATGAAAACGAAGTTAGATAAAATATATATTGAAAGGGGCGAAAGACAGTCAAGAAAAAAGAAACTGTATAAAGTTTGCATTTCATAATAAATCGCTTAAATATTATTTATTGCTTGAAAATCTAACATTCGAAATAGATGCTTTGTGTAGCAAAAACACGCAACAACACACCATGCCTATTTGTTTCATGGGCATAGAATGAGCGGGCGGAAAAAAGAAGAAGATAAAAGTAGGCATAAAACTTTGAAATTATAAAATATATCGGTGCTAAACGTGCATCTAAACAGGAAATTTGTTTTCATTTTCACTATAAATTATCGAACATGTGTCAATGGTCTCATGCATAACATTTCTGGTATTGATTCCATAAATTTTCGGATTATTACATTTTGCATACATTGCGATTCAATTTGAATTGTGTAATAGATAAAGATGCCACCGTTTCACGACATGAATTCTTGCATTTATGATGAATATAGCATTTAAATAGACTTCTGTACTGATTTAGTACTTGAAATTGTTATGTGAGCGAAACAGAGAAAATGCAATTCAATGAATTCAGTGCGCAACGTGCTGCCGGAATGGAAAAAAAGCAACGAAAAAGTAAAGACACAAGTTGCACGCGACAGCTGTAGGAAAAGATGATATAAACATAAGTCGGAAGTGCGCTGTCGACACACATATCGCGCTCATTCTAAACTTATACATTGCACATTCGCTCTGGTTATAATGTAGAAAGTTGAAACCCATTCTACAGAAATGTCCCATTAATTTACTAATTTCATTTAAAATAGTAGACATAAAAGAACGCAATGGTGCAACATCATTATTGTTGTCATCAACATCATCCAGTCATAATAAAATGTGGCATAGGAAGTTATATCGATGTACAGCCACGTGAGGGGCCTTTGTTCTGATATGAATTCACGTTGACTTCTTTTGAAAATAAAACATCATCACCCAAATCATATTGGTAATTTTCCGAATATTTTACCAAGATATCGGATGGCATTGGAATCATGTTGGAATACCATTAAAGGCTTCGATTGTTTTCCATATATAATAAAGGATTTATGAATGCGATTTGAACACTTGTCAAAACTCCGAATATTATAAACGCTCTTTCAGTATTAATCTCATTTTATATGTACTGTGTTCGTGTATGCTCTATCTCTATCTCGTCGCGATTTTATGGGATACACTTCGGTCTGGTGAATTCGTGAAAAAACTTTTTCCCATATGCGAATGAAATGTGCTCCATTTTTGTGAAAATGCGATGAGTTTTATTGCATTGCATTACATTGAACAACAACATATGACATTTTGACTTATACCATATGTAAGACTATGAATTTCAATGGGATTGAATGCAAAACGATACTTTTTTTCCACTCATATCCGATTTCTAATTTTAAATAATATGCGCTTGTTTCCGAAAAGCATCACAAAATGCTACCCAATCACATTGACAAAGGGAAAGCGAGGGAAAAAGCTCGGGGGGTGAGGGATCGAGAGAGGTAGAGAGGGTCTATTGTCATCGTATTTTGTATTATACGCATGCATTCGCATCATATAAAATCGAGATGAATATTGCGCGACAATGAAGTGTAAATAAAGCCATAACAATTTCATCGAACATAAAACTGATTATTCCGATTACAACAATGACAAAAAAGTATTGTTCGCGCAATGCTTGGTTGTTGATGTTTCGTCATGTATTTGGTTTGCGTCAGGTGTAAAACGCATCATACGTCAAAGAATAAAATGTTTCAGTCAGGAAATGTTAACGTGTTTACGTCGATAGAGACGTAAAAAAGCAGAGAGAGAGAGAGAGAGCGAGAAAATACCTATCGCAACTCTATGAATATGTATCAACGGAAAATTGCTGGTTGCTTATAGTGAAAGCGCATACCCTCAATCAAATTTTGCACACGAATAAACCAGTGCCAAATTATTCATGTAATATCAATTTTATTATTTTTTCGCAACACCAGCGCAAAATCATGCATCCCAAATGAAATGTTTAGAACCCGTAAAAGTCAGGTTAATCGGATCATCATTGTCAAGTAATCTGAGACGAATTCATGTTCAAATAAAAATGAAGCTGAACGCATAGAATCGTGTGTAAATTCCGAGTTTGAGAATCAAATCTTGCACACCACCATCCACTGTTGGATGAATGACTTTGTGGAAACATACATAATACGTTTCATTTATTTCATCGATCACCTTATGTCGATATTATCCTGACTAATATCAACGGACTGCTTGCTCACCCACTTTCTTTGTCACTCTCTCTCTCACTCTCTATATTTCGCTCCATCTTTCGATCCCACTAAATGTGACACATAGTCAACTTCACTTTTCTGACTTTGCAAATGTTACCTAAACAACCAGAAACGAGAAAGAAGAAACACATGAAAAATGAAAGGAAAATTGACTTTTTCAAAATGCGGTGTATATACATATACAATCTACATCGAAAACTTGCCTTGAGTCAAAGTATCAAATTGAGCGCATCCATTCTGATTTATTTTACATGAGAGCATGTGTGTGTTGGTGTTTTTCGTTTTATTCTTCTTCTTCTTCTTTTTTATTATTTTGGAATTTTCATGTCTGATATGAAACTAACTCCTCGACTCTCACATGGGATGTATACCAAGACGAAGCACATGGATTTTTTTTTTTTTTGGTTCAACGTATCTCTTGTGTCCTGTCCGTGTCATCATCGTCGATAAGAAATCAGTATGTCAATAAAAAGTTGTGGAAAAGAAGGGAAAAAAGACTAAAAAAGCGTACACGAAGCGCAAAGTGAAAGAGCACCGGCATTGGTAAACCATCTTTTAAAAATAGCATATTCATTGAGTCTGTGTCGCACCCATATGAGCGAATGTGTGTGTGTGTATGCATGAATGTAATAGAAAGATCTTATCGACAGTTCTGAGACTCTGAGAGGTTTCTTCTTTCGTTCGTTTTATTTTCCTTTGAGTTTTCCTTTTTTACTTGCGTAACACATCACTCGATATATGGTTTCGATGGAGTCGATGTACGTGTCTATTGGTAATGGCATAAATAAGAATATCGATACCGAAAGGATGAAAGCTTTGCCGTTGAATTCACACGATACGATTGCATCCACAGTTTTTCCCTCGTCGACACAACATTGTAAACCGGATATATATATTTTGTATTATATATGCAACAAAATTCACATATCCATCTCGAATTTGTGGTTTCAAATCGGAAAGCTTATTAGCAGTAGCTTGACATTTCCATTTAGAACATATGAAAATGAGACAAGAGCTGGTTGCATGGAATAGACAGAGATGGAGATGAAGAAGAAAACGAGAAAATGATAGACTTTGCTCGATTTCCGTGCAATAGAACCCATCTTACAATATCGATCCACATTTAAATCTAAGGCCATGCCGCACCCATATATACCGCAAAATGAAAGAACAACAAGTCAAAATGTTCTAAATGGATGTAACGAACAAAAACATTTCATTAAACTATAGCTAAAAATGTTTGTTAAATGATGTATGACATGCAGAAGATGAATATGATGACGATGTTACTCGTTGTTCGATGAGCGAGAAAATATGTACACTTGTTCGTACCATGAACACACAATGCAAGTTTATCGACAACAATGCTGTACAACTAAATAAAGAGCAAACTTACCACTGGCTTCCTCAATATCCTGTCGCTTGATCAATTAGGCCTATTGCCCTATGTACGGCATATGTGATAGATGAATTCATTTTCATATTTTCATGTCATGTGACATTTTATCGTAGCCACAATGCACAATGAAGATAGGTGAGCAAAAATTGCTTGGATGGAATTTTTGCTTCAATTTGGATTTATGCAATTAAGTTTGAGTTTGAGAGTTTATTTTTTGCTCAACACTGGCCACATTCCGAAATCGTTATTTGAACCATGCTACTGCTACTGTTGTGGTTAAAAGACTTGAATAATTTGAATTTCAAAGCACTAATATGTCATTGTGTGTGTGAAGAATGAAGATTGAATCCCTTTTGGAAAGTGTTTGACCACGATAACTTTTGTGCTGTCACATACTATCATCTGTTTTCTAGTTAGGCGTGCGTTACGCAAATATCGTAATCATTCTGAATCGTACTTAGACACATGAGTGGCTTAAACTGAATTCATTGCACGTTAAATCTAAGTGTATCGTACAATACAAGTGAATTGTACACGCGAAAAGAAAACAAATGAAGGAATCAAGGCATCAATTGACGTCAATGGTGACGAGGCTTGCTCAGCGAAACAAAAAAGAAAACAAAACATCCAATATAAGAGATGAGGATACAACAACAATAAAAACCAGCGCAAATATTTATATTTACATCTATCTCTCGGTGAATTTGATTTATATGCTTCGATGAGAGTATATGACCGATGTATATATCCAACACGAGCACACCGGGAGAGAAAGAGAAGAGCACATTCAAATTAAGCGGGCGAACGCGTACGTGGTGATTTTTCTATTTGTCGCCATTTCGCACCCGACGGTTTTTTTTTTTGGTTTCGCATTTTGCAATGAGAAAATCATTTACAAATAATTGAAAACAGTTAGCAAACTAATTTAAATTGTAAATATAAAGCGAATTAACTCATTTGGCGACTCAACTGAAACGGAATTAATTCGTTTTATAACGAAGGCCAAAATGTTTGGCAAACTGCATTTTCCGCCATTTTTCGTTTCATTTTTTGTCCATCAATCAATTTCGTGTGAAATTGGCGCTGAATGATTGGTTTCGTATGAAAACGAAAAAAATAAAAGTGATTAATTGCGGTAGCTTTATATCAACTCTATCAATAATCAAAAGCATCAATAATAAGTATGCTCATGTTTCGCACTCTTTCCCATCATAGATCCAATTCCGGTCACACCTGAACCAACACTGAAGCGGCCAACACATTTGGATTTGATGCCAGTTTCGAATTTCACTCCGAAAAAATCACCGAACGTAAGTGGCATTTTTCTGCTAGATTTTGTTTTTACCTCGAATTTCTTTTCAAACGAAAACAAAAAATGACCATCATATATTCGATGTGACATGTATTTTATTTTCTCCAGGAGACTAATGACGATAAATCACCGAGTGTACCATTATCAACGACATCGGAAATTCAACACTTACGCGATCAATTAGAACAACAGGCATTACAAACACGTGAGGCTCTATTCCAACTGATGCAAGTTCGTGAGCAATTGATCAGCGAAACGAATGCACGTATCGAAGCACAGGTGTGTATCAATATTAACACTTGACTCATTTGAATGATATTTGCTTTTTATGAAATATATATATATGTGTGTGTGTGTTCATATGGATGTACATGACTTTTCGTCATTTTTGCAGGCAAGAACGCAACAGCTATTGCAACAAAATCGCGAATTGGTGGAACATTTGGCTTCACTGGGTGGATACACATACACGGAAAATGAACGAGCTGGACTAACATCGGCAAACATTAGTTTGGCACCACAGGTAGAAATACGAACACTTTGAAAAGAAAAAAAAAATAATGCAAAAAACTTTATCGCTTTCTCCATTACATTTTTGCATTGAGAATTTTTCGATATAATTTTTACACATGTGACCCAAGTCACAAAAGCATTAGAGTGTTTTATGTTACTTGCTGTACTTGAACAATGTGAAAATAACAACCATCTTTTCTTAATTTATCTGTGCTGTCTCGAACTGTGTTCGGTTTTTCTTAGCATGTTACAATAACTTTATTAAAATATGTTGCATTTCGTTTCGTGATTTTAATTTTGATTTAATTTTTAATAACAAAAGTGTATGCATGATTTTGAATTGTTTTTATTTGATTAATTTACAGGTAAGTAATGTGTTTTTTTTTCGTTTATTTATTATTTCTTCGGTTTTGTTACCGTAATATGATGATTATTGTTTCTTTTTTTATTCCGTCATTTTCAGTATGGAAACTAATTGCAATGTACGCATGTATATCATAAACTTTTCATCAAGTGGATAAAAAAAATTATATATTCGAGACAGAGAGAAAAAACACACAATTGACAAATTCATTTTAATTCCGTTTCAGTCGCCGGTTACCCTGTTTGGTTCTGATCAGGGTGAAAATGGTTCACCGATTCGTAAATCATTTGTTATGACGCCAAATAACAATAGCATTGCAACCATAAATCAACAGCTCAATAATTTGGGGACGATCAATCAGCAGCTAACACAGCTCAGTCAACAATTAAGCGGATTGAATCAGCAGAGCCAAAATTTACAACAATTTCAAAATTTCGGCAACAATTTAAATACCGTCAATAGCGTTTTGAATTCAGTGCCAAATCTTAATACCATCGTCAATAGTAGTAGTTTTAGTACCAATAACAACAACAACAACAATAACAATACTAGCAATAATTGTAATAACAATACAAAACTTCCGAGTAATTTCATACCGGGCGATTTATTCCAATCGAATCAGGATTTGTTGAATCGATTGCAAAATCTTAGTTTAGGTTTTAGCAATAATAATAGTATTATGAGTACGCCGAATAGTTCATTTTTGAGTCACATACTCAATGGAAATGTTCAATCAACGGCAATGAATTGCAGTACCAGTACGAGTGCCAATGTTAATAGTAATAATAATAGTAATAATAACAATAATAGTAATTTGAATTTGCTAAGTTCGCCATCGAGCCTAGGAAATTTGTCACCATCACCGGTCTTCAATCGAAGTCCGTACTCAAGTAGCCCGATGTTGGACAATAATCTACCATTAACCACAATGACATCAACCACAATTACAACGCCAATAGCTGAATGCAGCACCAATATAAATTTCGCTGAGGATACGGCAAAATTTTTGCGACCAATTTCAACACCACTCAATGGAAGTGTACTGACCATATTCGATTCTGGTGACAAATTTCGACCAGCAACACCAATTCCATTATTATCATCACCATCATCATCGTCGGACAACAATAATAGGAGCAGCAATACGCTCACTTCATCGGGTTCATCAACATCCATTGCAACAACAACCATTGGCAGTGGTACAATTCGAAAAAATGATAAACGGGTCACTTTGCCCGATTTTACACTTCATATCACGGACGAATGTGGTAATATTATGAATTCCAAACGATTGCCATCATCGGCCACACCGAGTACAATAACAAGAACAACCAGCGAAAAAGTACCACGAAGTCAATTAATGAGCGAAGTGCAACGAACTGCATGGGCAAGACACACAACAAAATAGTTTAATTCAAATTATTATATGAACGATTTTTCTTTTGAATATTGTATTAAGTTAATACTATTAACTATATATTCGCTTTTGTTTCGTTCATTTTTCATTTTACCATTTCATATCGCATATTTGGTTCACACAATTCTACAAATGTAACATCTCCATAATAGGTGTTCATTTGAATGTCTTCTACTAACTAAGTATCAACACAAAAGTTTTCCATTAAAAAAGAAAAAAAATGATGCACATTTAGGCTCAATTATTTATTATTATTATTATTATTATTGTATGCGCCCCTTGTTATTTACATCGCATTAAATTATATCAATTTATTAAGTAACAGTTGAAAGTTGAAGCGCTTCCTTAGCAAATTTCTCCTTTTTCGCCAACAAACAAACATAAACACACACAAACACAAATTGTGAAGGCTGTCGAAAACTGATTATTGCTCAAAGGATTATCTTTATGTCTTTCCTTTTAATGTAAATGTAGTCTCTCTTCATTATAATGAATTGCATGGAAAAAAAATTCGAATTTGTTTTATACTCTATTATCTCTCGATATCTTTCTCTTCAAAAGAGCACACTATGTAACGTTAGGCAATTTAACTGACAAAACCAAAACATATATTTTACACATATCGACCAAACATTATCATAACACAACTGGTCAATCATCTAAATAACAGGAATTCACCAAAAAAAAAAAACAAATCCATGCAATATTTTAGTCCAAATTTAGACAAGATGAATATATTTTAGTTGATGTTAAAATGATAAAAATATCAGAGCTAAAGATAAAAAAAACCAAATAAATTCATACATTGATTTTTGGATAGGATAGATCCGCAAGATCTCCGCAAGAGCTATATCTAAGCATGCGTACACTCTTCCGTATGCAAGCAGCTCTTACGGAGATCTTACGAATCCATCCTATCCAAAAATCAATGTATGCAAAAAATTACAATTGTCGAAAGTGATAAATGCAAAGTTAATGAAAAGCACAGATGTAAACATTGCTCAAAGAAAAGAAAAAACAATGAATTCCGAACGATTTCCTGAAAATACATTTTCTCCAGCAAATTTTATCCCAACAATTCGTGATTTCTTTATTTCCAAAACTTCGGATTTTTTGTCACGAAGATCCAAAATGTTTGGGAAAAATTCGTTGAGAAACAATTTTTTTTCTTTCGGGAAATCTTCGGCTGTTAAAAAGTTGTAATAAAATGAGAGACATTTATTACATTGGAAACGATCCTTTCTTAAGTTGTATTATTATAGTGTAATTGAACATTTTTAATTCATTATATAATAAATATACAAAAATAAAACGAATTTCAAAATCAATAAATTGCGATCAGTCTTTTTAAAGTGCTAAACGGATCCTGACAGGTAGGTCACGATACGTTTTCAATCAAAATGTCTCAGTTATAAGAAAAATCACGGTCAATATTATAGTTGGAAGATTCGGTTTAACAATGTAAATCAAATGCCAAAAAAATCCCTTGATTCAAAAGGATACATTTCAATTACGAAATATTTCGAACAATTTTATATAATTGAAGTGGATTTATGTCAATATGTTAAAGCTGCGTGTATTCACTCGATTCGTATACTAACAATTCTACATAGTGGAAAAGATATCGGATTTCAACGACCGTGTGCCCAGTTCCTTTCAATTGCACGTTTAAAAGCTTGTTGCTGAACGAATCTCATTCAATGTTTCGTTAATTGACCATGCACAAGTATTCAGCACGTTAGATTTTCTTCTTTTGATTTTCATTTTTTTTTTATAATTTTCAACTTCGACCGGGCATCGCTTAGAGTTTTCCGCAATGGGATTTCTTTAACAACATTGTAATATTGAAAAGGTTGCACTTCATGAAAACGTGCCCAGATGAATTACAACAATGCAATGAAAAGCAAACACATCGAACGAGAATAATATGAGATGAATTTGAAAAATGCAATTCTTACTGACGGCAGCGGCGGCAGCAGCAGCCGTAGAAATAGCAACACCATAGCAACAATTTTCAACAGTCATCAGCCCAAGAAATGAAAACATTTCACAGTTATTTACGTAGCATACTGTTTCATAAAAATTTTCAAGATTGTAAATTGAACTTTTGCGCAAGTTGTACTCTTGTTGATTTAAGTGGCGTAGTTATTTTGTTTGGTGTAGTTTGTTCATTTCTTTTTTATTCGCTCACTTTTTCGTCTCGTTTACACTATTGCTTTCGATCCTCCTCTTTTTCGGTCTTTCAATCTTCGCTTTTGCTCCGCCATTTCCCGTGTTTGTCTTGATAAATGTGTTGAATGGTGAAGTTTCCCACTGAACTTCACTGTCTGAACGTGTAACTCTTGATTTCGTTTCTAAAACTTTACAAACAGCACCATCAATATTTTTTGTATATGACTGACTATGTATGTGTTTCGTGTTTTTTCCCTGCTTTTTCGGGCCGTTCTTTTTCATGTATTTAAGTACTTTTTGTTGTGTTTTTGTGTTCAGCGTTTTCATTGGCAGCTGCCGGTTTTTAGCTTTGTGCATTGGGGTTCATTACCAATTTTGATACGTTTGTTGATGCTGCGAAACATATCCAGTATATTTCTCTCTCGCCACCTAAGTTTGCATCACATACAATTAGAGGGATAAAACTTTATCAACATTTTCTTCCAGTGAAATTCCACAATTTGATGCATACAATGGAGAATTACATTTATAAAGATATACACACGAAAAATTTGTCCTTTTCAGTGTTGGCTTACCAACGTTACAAATCCATGTTGGTTTTCGTTGGCAAGACGAAAGAAGACGAAAAAAAAGCCAATGTTCAACAGTGAAATGAAATCTGGTTCAGGAAATGGCTTTGTTATCCCGAATTTTCCGTAGCATTTGATAAAAACCCACTCAAATTTATTATACTGTTCTCTGTTCGGTTGTTTGTTCATCGGCGAATGCAAGAGAGATAGATAATAAAGAGAAGAAGTGGAGAAAGAAAGTGATAAAAAAAAAATAATAATATAGAAAGTCTCTGTAAGCGGGTATCTTAATTACATCCAATAAAAACCGGAATCAATTAATTTCTTGCCAGGGCGATGAGAGTACACTTATCTCAAGCTCGATAAAATGATGTAAATTATTGCTATCCGACTTGTTTAAAATGGGTGCGAATGAAAATATGAGTGCACAGCATATACTGCATTCCTTGCAATTACGGTGGACTAAATTCATTACGCTAACTTGTACACCATTTTCGTTTATGTCTATGTATATACACCTGTATTTTATGTTTCATTTTAAAACCGTTTGATTCATTGTTTTGTTTTGTATTTTTCTTTTTCATCAGTTATCTTCGACTGCAAAGGTAGCACGTTGGTTTCAGCAATTGAATTCAAACCCAACAACCTCATTATCGCGTCCAGAAAGTGGCTTTGTTTCAGGTGATTCACGCTCCGAACGTAATCCGGACGATCAACAGCAACTACGTGAAACAGACGAAATATGCGATGAGTATCTATTAGTTGAAGGCACAAGCAATCTTTGGAGTAAATTAAGTGCAAAGAAGCGTCGAAAACTATTGGGACTACGTTTGGGAAAAGTGACTACATTTTAGTTAAATGAAGCGAGATTAAAAAAAATACATTGAATATTATTTAAATGAGAACCACTGAACATTTTCCAATTGAAGCAACATGAACATGAACTATGGTAGGAGGAAATTTAGAAGCAAATGTCATGGATGAACGTTATTGCAAAATTGTTTCATTTCTTGTTATTCACAATATAACAAGACTGCAAAACAATTGTATCGGGATAAATATGGCGAAATTTGAACGTATTCATTTCATTTTAATACGTTTTTAATTCACATCGATATGAGAATTGAGCGCATTGTAACAGTTGGAATAATGGTGTTTACATTTTGTATTAGTACATTTGATAAGTTTTTCATTTTGTTTTTAGTTTCTCTCTAAATGCTCGGATGCAACACAACGACATTTCTTTAGCGCGCGTATTTTTTTATTATTTTCAAAAATTTGATTCATTTCATGTAAAGATAATTTGAATTTTACAGTCAAACGTTTTGTTTTTTTTTTATTACTATTTTCGACCGCAACGAACAGTAATTAGGCTAGATTAATTTCGAGATTAAAGGATTTGTATTTTTATACATTGTACTAGGTAGAATTATTAGTATTAATTTAAATAATACAATTGCATTTGCGAATTGCATATTCACAAATATATTTTTACTGTTGGCCAACATTTTTCGAACAAACGCCATCGCAAATCTATGGTTTTTTTTAAGAGTCTACCAGTTTATTTTTTATACATTATGTATGACGCATACAGTAGACAGCAGTGTTTTGCAAGATATTTACGTTTATTACGTAAATCTGAAATCATTTTTTTTTTTTGAAAACGTTTAATATTTTTCAATTTTTCGGCAGAATATTTTCGAAATCGTATAAAGGACTTCGATTGCTTTTGAGATTTTACATGAAAATGGACAGCGGCGATATTTGTGATCGATACTTTATCGACTTCGATTTTCGTTTCATTTGGAATTTTTCAGTATATTTTTTTATATGGTCCGGTCCAAACACTTTGTTTTGAATGTTTTTGATGCTTTTGTGCAAAATCGAATGACTTTTTTTTTTTAATTTTAGTTTTAATTTATGGTTTCCTTTGTAGTAATTTAATCGTGTTTATTTAGTTATCATAATTAATGAATTGTATTCAGGTTACGACGCATAGCCGTATCGCAAATCAATATTTTTTTTTTGGTAAAAATAATCATCGACATTTTCTTGTCGTGAAGCGAAGATTTATTTACTGTCGGTTAAGTTAAAAAAAAGTGGAAAAATGAATAAAAAAAGAGTTGGAAACCGAATATATGCCATAGAAATTCCCAATTTGTATGCGATCACCCCTATTTATCAATTTCTTAGTTTAATTAAGTGATCACTTTGAGATTTAAATCGTTTATATATTTATCGAACACATTTGATTCAATTGCTTGCATATTTTTGCAGTTTAGATAATAACGTATTCAGAGCAAAAATGATATACTCCGAATTGAAATGCTCAAATAAACCGATTGTAACCGCAAAAATATGCAAAGGCCGTAATTATATGTGCTCAATATGGAAAGTGTTAATTTAAGTTGAAACCACTTACTTTTATTCAGTTTGCAGTTTCATACCAGTGCTACTCTTCCAAAAACTACACTAACGTAATAGATTTTGAACGAAACTAAATGTTAGAATTGAATATCAACATTCCACACAAAATTCACAATTTTTTTTTTTTCAATTTTGTTTTTCTTCACAATCGAATATCGAATGCGTAATTTTCAATGTTGCTCCAAGTGTTTGACGAAAATAGTTCAAAACATTTAAGATTTAGCATAGTATTTTTGTATTAGCTCAACAAAGCCATTTTTTTCATTGTGCTGCCGTTTTTTGGAAATTAGAATATAAGTTCTTTGAATGATAAAAAGTAAAAAAAAAAATCATTGGATCGTTTCGATCGACTTTCCATGAAGAATAAATTTTTTTTTTAATAATAATAATCAATTAAACACGTTCATGAAAATTTTTTGCTTTTTTTATCGTATTTTCTTTGCGTTTATATTCTATAGAAACAAAATTTTGAGACTGAATATACAAATTTAACGGAATACGAAACAATAATTGTAATGTGTTTTATTTTTTGAAAACCTTTCATTAAATTGCTTTTCCAATTAAATTATTACATCCCCCACATGTACAGTTTGAAATGGAACGGGGAAAAATCATAAATGTTTAAAGGTAAGTCATGCACCTCATCAGACATGCAGAAATATGCAATAAATATGCATTCGTGACTAAAGATCCATGGAATTGAATTGTTTTGACGAATTTATTTTTTCTTCTCTTTATGCTCTTTCAAAGAAAAACAATTTTAATCCAAAGTACATATATTCCAGATATGTACGTATACATCCATCATTCATATTCTAGTGACGATGGTTTTTTTTTTCTGGAATGCAAAAGAGGTGTGCCAAACCAGACGCTGTCCAGTTCGTATAATGACATTTTGTTAGAAAAGCGCTTGTGATAAGGGAAAAAACATGAGTTTTTAATTTAAAAAAAATTCTCATTTAGAATCATTAACTTAATGAAATTACTGTACCGATTGCAGGTTTTATGTTGTCTATGTACGCTTGCATTCATATGCCATTTGATAGATATTATTGGTGTTAAGCATCGATTTTCTTTTTGGTCACGTTAGTATGGCGCAAAAAAGCGCTTAAACGTTTTGAGGATAAATGATTCAAGTGGCTTATGTCACATCCACTAACATAAATCGACCGATTTACAAACAACATTCATCCCACCCATTCTAGAATTTCTTTGGGCAATTTTTCGGTGATTGAAATAGATTGGCCACATTTTGTAATGTCAACTAATGGACAGTTGACATTTAATAGAAACGTTGATTGCGTGAGGCACGTACCACATCAGATTCAGTGCCACAAATGCTGCCGCATGTACTAACACTATATGTATGATTATTATACTTTTAGCTAATTACTGTTTTGTTTATAATATTTTGGTGGAAGAAGAGGACGAAGAAGAGGAAACCGAAGAAGAAGAAGAAGAAAAAGCAGAAGCGAACGATTCAGTGTTATGCTGTTAAATGTAGCGACTTTTCGCGGTATATCATGTCATCAGAAATAATATATGTGTTGGGCGACTTTGGTGAGCGGTAAATAGTTTGTCGACAATGGGCGATAGGCGAAACTAACATGTGCGCACACATTAAGGGCATGTAATATGTACAGGATATGTGTAAAGTTAAATGTGTATGTCATGTGCCTCTCTCACTCTCACTCTTTGGCTATCATTCTGGCCTCTGCTCATGCGAGTGTAGAATTCCGTTATTTTTCATTTAAATAAATTTCAAGTTAGGTAAATGTGTGCTCGCACACCTTTGTTGAAGAGTGGCCTCGGCTGAAAAACGACTTTTCTGTCTGTTCACTTTAGACCAAGATAATTGACACAAAACAGCACGTATTACATTCACTCGAAAACATCTCCACAAACTAAGTCACACTTTTAATTTTTTTAGATACGAAATCCGTTTTATCAAAAAGAAAAGTCTTTCAAGAGTTTCTCGTTTCAAAGTTTTTTTTTTTTGGAGTATTTAATGAAAACAAAAACGGTATTTTTAAAACACATTAAAAAGAAACATAATTATTGTGAAGAAAAATGAGTGAATCAAGTGAAAAAACGGATTACACGAAAAAAGGAGATAAGCGTGGGATCTTACGTTTGGATATTAATAAACCTCGAAACTCGTCTGGCTCTGTTGAGTTTCGCAATCAACCAGAGCTCATCTCTGAGGTAACATCCATTTTGTTTCATTTGTTTAAAAAAAATGGGGACGTTAAAGGGATAAAGATGAGCTCAACATTTTGGACCATTAAAAAAAATTAAAAATTAAACATTAAATAAAGAATGACATTTATCACAAATTTCCGAATTAATGGCATAACTGAATGCCGCTTGGCGGCATGAATAAAAAGTTGATATGTTCAAACCAGAAGAACAGAGAGAAAGAGAGATAGAGAGAGAGAGAGAGAGAGAGAGAGAGAGAGGGAAAAGAGAAAAAAAATGCAATGAAAATAAATATATTCAGGAAATGTGTCCCCGGAGTGCCTTTCTTGAAATCGATGTGAAACCTACGTTTTATATTGATGTGAATGGTCTCAATTCAAATGACAACACAAAATATATTTAACAATAAAATAAATAGCACACCTTTCAATGTGAGTGTGTTTCATGATCAACATGCGATACAGCAGAAAATGGCATATTAGCTAAACATTGGAGTAAGTTTCTTAAGGTGCGGTCACATTGAGCATACAAATATTTCAACTCTTCGCTGCATTGATTTTCAAGTATAAAAGCTTATGAGAGAGATGTGTTCATGTGGACCGAATACTCAAATCGAATATTGTTGAATTGTGCATTTAAAAAAAGGTGCACAGAATGTTTGAATCATTAAATAAATGTAACGATATGAAACAATTTCGTCGATTCGAACAATCTTCGATGAACATATATTCCGTCGATAAAATGGAATTGCCATCATCTCATTTTATTTGATTTTTTTATTCATTTATTTTGGCGCAAGAGGGAAATGGTTCGATACATTTTGGAAAAACGGCAACCGAATTGTATAATATGAGCTTTGTTGTACTACGAAATTTTGAGGAAGGGAAAGAGTAGAAGTCATAGTTGACAATAAATTACATCATTGCTGCTATTTTGCTTTCGCCATTTCTTTGTTACTGCATCCAATTGTATTTCGTTGAAATTCTCGATTTCATTGTGGCTACGGTTCGCGGACATGCAATGCATATAAATTAAAAGTTTTGCGACGCTATTTTCTTTGTCAATGTTTTTGCAATGCCATATTTTATCAAATGCAAGATTCTCTCGCACTCTGAAATGTACAGTGACCATTGCCGTTGACATCGTGTTTATTTATGGGTCTCGTAACTAGCTGAATGCACATGATTTATGTCGTAATTGAATCACTTTTCAAATATTGTTTTTGAAATGTAAAAAATTAAACTAATTATGATGCGACAGTGATTTACCTTAGTGTCTGGCGACAAATCAGCTAGAAAATCAATTTCAACCAAAGAGTGCCACGGTTTATGGTTGCTTTGTCATATATGACAAATGGCGACATTGTAACTGGTCCGTTGAGAGGTAATTTTTTTCCTCGGTAATTGTCAAGGGATGATTTCCATAGTGCGTAGCACCAAACGCTTTTATGTGCTTTAAATTACGCATGATATCGTTCGAGTGGCATACCAGATTTATGCAAATGCAACGAAATTCTGAGGTGGGAATTCCACCACTTCAGTCGAAATTGAATGATTTTTTGTTACTGTTCAGATGATGGTGATGAATAGTTTTCGGCCTTGTTCGTAGGTTAGCAAACTGATGTCAAAAAAAAGAGGAAAAAGCTTTCTTTGAACACGGCATTCCGTTGGAGCAAACGGAAAGATGAGTATTAGTTACAAAAATCCAAACACCTCCAATCGACGAGTGTAACCGGGCACACTATATAATAGACGTTGGCACATTTGTATACGCAATGTGTGTGTATGTTTGTTCGCTCTATGTCAACGGAATGATAAGGCAACCAAATTTCGAAACTATATTTTACATTCGCACAAAAAGACACGAAACATGATATACTCCATAATTGGACACAAAAGAGAGATAGATATACACTTACACATACCCCTGAATACACACGAACACAATATCTTGATCGTGAATAATAATGAGACAAATTTGTTTCACTCTTTCTTTCATTCTCTCTTTCTTGTCATGTATTATATTATTTTATTTGACAATAACCACACCCAGTATTTGAGCAGACACTTTCACATTTAAGAGGCATGTACCCTTCAGCCAATAAAAAGAACTCTGTGCAAACGGTAATGAGATGAGTGGCAGTATTTTATTAGCTACTGATAAAAATGTAAACACAATTCATATTCGGCAATATATGTACGATTGGAAAATGGTTATTGGAAATGATTTTTGTTGTATTAAATCGTTGATAGATTGGGCAAGATTGTCGGAAAACTGAACAACGAATGATCACAGATCTTACGTAGGCTGTAATTCAACATTATGTATTTACTTACGTCGACCATAAAAGATGATTGCGAACATTACAAACAAATTGATTGCATTTATTTTATTTGTGACACCATCATTTCACAGTTGGTGTTGTATTTCATTTGAAGCAAATGCTTGCATGTCACAGTCATAATCTGATTAAAATTTTGTTCATTGAGATCTTCTTCTCAGCAGGCACTCATAATATGCGTGAGTGTGTTTTTTGTCACGATTTTAATTATTTCATCAATTTAGTTTGCTTTATGCTAAACTAAAGTTAAAATATTAAAATCCATAAGAATCAAGCTCATTTCAATATTTCCTATATTTTTACTCACCGTGAAAACTGATGACAACAAAAAATTCGAGTCCGTTGCGATGTGATACCATGCATACACACTCGAAAAGGATAGTGAACGAAAAGGATGTTTATATTATGAATCCTGATTAAGTGCGTGGAGTAGAAACATGTTTTTTTCACGCAAACGACATAAAAAGCACAGTAACCGTAGGGTCGAATTAAAAAAAAAACCAACGAATAACGAACATTTATTCAGCTTTATGATTTTTTGGGTCTGTTCAATCGAAACAAGCTTTGTGCAGAACATAAAGTGGCTATACGCATGAATAGAGTCATAGAACAGCAAAATGAACACTGTGTAAGGCGTCATATGTGTATGTCTCTCTTTTTTTGTGTGTTCCTTCTAACGTTCGTTTGTTCGTTCATCAGAGGAGCAGAACAAATATTACAAATACATGCATGAACAATATAATCGCTACTTATGGGAAATATTCGTATAAAAAAATAGTTTTCCTCTTACACACCCGATTATAGATACGTAGATGACTATTAAATGCTTTCTTATTATGAATATACAGAGTACACGCTATACACCACCAACCGAAGAAAAAACCACATGTATACGATCAATCAAATCGGATATTTTTCTGTATGTGCAGAAAAATAGCGAAATAAATGGAAATGGAAAGAGTGAGAGAGTGAGTGTGTGGGTGAGAGAGAGAGAGAGTGGAACGTTAACGGCAAACCAACAGACAACCGAAGCAGCGTCAAAAAAGTCAAGCACTATTGCGACTCAGAAACGAGGGCGAACCGTTAAAGGGAAAATTAGAAATAAAAGACGAATAAATTAATTCGACCAGTACAAGATATTGCTAAATAGAACACGATGTTCAGTTTGCGAATGACCTTTCTTTCGTGTAAAACACTTCCCATTCAATTGTATTCGATTCTATAATAGAAAATCACACTATTTTTTTCGTTGCTCGCGTTTTTTCTTTCAAATTATTTTATACAACACGCTCAACGGGATCGTTTGAACAAACAACAGTTTTTGAATTGTGTGTTTTTTTACAGAAGGAGAAGTTACAACGGTTTTAAAAATTACGTTTTCGCTCAACGACATTTAATCTATACATTTTATGCATTTAAAAAGATTACACACATCTTAAACGACTAACCAAACAACTGTGATGTAAAGTATTCGGAGTGTTTTACGTTTATTCTTTGGACCAAGCATTTATTTGTTAACATTAAAGTGAATATAGTGATCTTGGGCTTGTTTTTTTTGTAACATATTGACGTAAGTTTTAAGTTTAGATCAAACGGCGATCAATGAAAGAATCTTAAAATCAATTTGTGGAATGGAAAAGTGACATATTTTAAGAATTTTAAGAATTTTTGGCATCTTTCTTTTCACGTCCAGCTGGAAGAATTGTTTTTTTTTTTTTTTTTTTTTTTTGAGTAAAACTACAGAGAAAATGAAAATCGAAAAGTTCGCATGGAAATTCAAAAATTCGATATGAAATCTAGAAATTGTGATCGCTTTTGTTCCGTTATAAAGAGCATTAATGTGAATATGTCTATACGAAATTCAAAGAAAATTCGGTTATGTTTCTTGGCGTGAATGTTCGCGGATAAATTTTCCAACTGTCTCATAAGCTGGTTGTTGACTGTTGCGTTTTTTTGTGATGTTATTTTTTTTTTCTTTATGTCATCAACATAGAAAATTGCGTGTTCATTAGCTATTAATAAGATTATCATTCACCCCACTGCTCTTTCTACGATTCTACACACTTGGACAACGTCTTCTTTTCATTTTTTTGTTCATTATCTCTGTATGATGAAGTGTGTTGCCATTGGGATTTTTGTTTCGGTGTATGTAATGTACTAATCGGAAAATTAAAAGAACTTAAAGACTACAAAAAATCATTGTATGAGTAGGATTATAATCAATAAAAGCTCACTTGCTGCGTTCTACCGTTCATAACTGTTTCGTTTCAGTTTGTTCGGTTGGTTTTTTCGTCGTTTCTCTCCATTTTTCTTTTATTTCTCTCGCTCTCGCCACATAGTACCGATATTCTTCTATAAAGACGTAGTCCAATATAGAAAGAGTTAAAATTTATGCAATTGAATCGAAGGAAAATAAGGTCATTGCCTATAAGTGCATAATTTGTTTGTTGAAAATATTGAAAGCAATCAAATGAAAAGAGAAAGAAATTTTTTTTACCGCATCAATATTTAAACGATTGGTCAGTTTATATTTATGTACTTTGTGTATATATATATGCGTGTGTGTGTGATAATCATTGCAGGCTTCACCATCGCCACAGTCAACACAATTATCCGTGAAATGGGCCTTTCCAAAAGATAATAACGCTAAAGTTGAAAATGCAAGCGATGTGCAAGTGCGACCAGATCGAGTGTCAGGTTCAAGTGAAAAACGTGCGAAAAAGTAAATAATAAAATTGGATTACATTATTTTGTGTTGTGTTTTTGTTTTTCTTTAAATTTTCTCCACGACGTACAATGCACATTACAAAATCATCACATCAATGAGAAAAAAGTACTTTTTCGTTTTATTTTTATCACATTTTTTTTGCAGAAGTTTATCAGCCGACTATTTTGGATTTCAACCGTATTATGATCAGTATTACATGGAATCAATTGATGCTCCTGGTAAATTTGGTAGAAAGAACTAAAAACACACGGAATTCAGTCACATTTTTTGTTTTTCGTCTTCATCGCTTTCAATCGGAAGCTCAATTAACCATAGATTTCGCTTCGTCTTTTACTTTTATTGAACATATCGTTTTTTTTTTTCATGTCGTTGTTGCTTGTGCTCTCCTCGGAACCAATAACACACAGAATACATAAATTCTGAAGACGAAGACTATTCATTATCTCTATCGGCGGTGATACAAAGGCGTGCTAGCGTACGTGGTCGTAAAAAGGGTTACTATAGTCCAAGACGTGCATCAAGTCCAATGGGTCACGTAAGTGGTGTTTGTGGCATTCCTGCTGGTAATTCAATTGCTGTTAGCAAAGCCGATCGTCGTCGTTCTAGTGTTTACACAACCAGTTCGGGCGAGTAAGTGTCTTTATCATCATGTATGTACACTATGTAGTATCTTATTGCATTCAATATTCAATGGCTCTCGCATGCTTACATCAAACGGGAAAAAATGAACATTTGAACATGAAATATTGTTGATTAAACGACGAACATTTCACATAAGAATATTGAAATATTCAACATAAATGTGCCAGCCATTGAATGGATATGTATGATAGTGGAATATTATGTTTAATTTTGCATACTATACTGCGTGTATCTAGTTGTATGTGCAAATAAGCTTAAGCTACCAATAAAAGCATACACCAGTGCCGTCTTTTAACTTTCGCGAGCACAGTCCCTCACCGCTCCGGGCGTTTTTTTCCCAAATCTCGTTTTTTCTTTCTAAATAAAATGGTGACATTTGGACCGTAAAATTCATCATTTTGGGGTCAAACTGTGATATTTTAATTTTTTTACATTTTTTATTTGGTTCTTTTCCCTGAATCGAATGAGTGCCCCCTGATTACATTTGGTTAAATTTAAGATGGCACTGGCGTACATCGAAGTTTCATTCTATTTCACTGTTCATCATTTGACCATACACACAAACATTTCAAATTTGTATAAACTGGTTGAAATTCTATCAAGCTTTCGTCAATGTCATAAGTTCAAATCATCAAGTTTTCGATGATATTGCTCAGTACGTAATAACAGTACGTATTATCTTTTAATCTCGTTTTGTGAATGTTGGGTAAAATTGTAGAACGGTTATATCACTTGGAGATGGAGCCAACAATCAGGATTCAACGAAAGAGCAAATTTTCGAAAATATTCGATTGCACAAAGAAGTGTTACAATCGGTTAAAATGCAACCATGGAGTATGAGACGAAAACTGCGTCTCGTGCGACAAGTGAGTATTGATTTGCCTTTAATTTTGTTCATATTGTGTCATGCCATTTGCGGACATATTAAAAGCTTTGCATATCAATGGTTTTTAATTTTAATTTGTCTCAAAATACATTTGGAAAATTGTTTTAATAGGCCAGAGAGTATATTGCACGTCATGAAGGGGCATTACAGGAACGATTTGCTATGTCTCGAAGCACAAAAGATTTATGGGCTCGATTTAAAATCGTTTTAACAGTTGTAAGTGTCGAGTGTTAATAGCGAGGGAAAATAAGCGATTTATTTTTTCTTTCACTTCGGATCGAGTTGATTTTATCAAATTTTCGCAATTTCATGCAACGCATTGAATCCATTAATCCCTTCTCCAGAGGCGGTTGTAAACCCAGATCAGAAGCGATAGATAAAATCTACTGCTTAATATCCACATTCATTTCGAAATTCGATTAATTTCCGTTGCGTTTTTTTTTCTACTCTTTCTATCTATATCATTTCACCCGCCAATGGTTATTATTTTCTTTCGATTCAAATGATGCGAATCGATGTGCGGACACTTTGAAGAAATGGCAACACTTTCGACGAGAATTGGTTAATTTTTCCACACTGTTTGTTCCATGGCAACTTCGAATTAAAGAGATTGAATCACATTTTGGATCAGTAGTTGCATCCTACTTTACATTTTTACGATGGCTATTTTGGGTCAATATCGTATTAGCATTCACATTATCAACATTTGTTATTTTACCAGAGGTAAGCATATCGCTCTCATAGCATTATTATTTTCTTTTTCGCTGTGGTTCGTTCATCACTCATTTTTAATTTAAAAAAACATTTATTTATATTTCCCTTCAAATCGAAACGGTGGAACAAAAACTGTAGTTTCTTGCATCGGTTAGCAACGCTGAACAGTTGGATCATCGAAAAGTAATGTTGCCCGATGAGCTGGATAATGCCACCAAACTAAAAACATTTTTAAATTTCGAAGGTTATCTCAAGTATTCGCCATTATTTTATGGGTAGGCAACTTCGATTGATGCATTCAATTGATATTAGCAAACAAATAATTGTGTGATTTGTCATTTTTCTTCAGTTATTATTCAGACTATTCGGGAATTGCAAAGGGTGATAAGTACAATCTACCGTTGGCTTATTTCTTTGCCGGCGTTTCGGTGTATATTTATAGTTTTTGGGCAACATTGCGCAAGTAAAGTGTTGTTTTTATTTTTAATAATCAGAAATCAAATTGATTATGACGCCTGAGTGCATTATTTTACTAGTTTTTTTTTAATTATCTAACATTAACATACATTATAGAATGGCCGACAATTCAAGGATGTCAAAAATGTCGTCAAAAGAGGATGAATGCATATTTTCATGGAAACTATTTACTGGCTGGGATTATATGATTGGTAAAAAAAATCACATAAGAGACACCGAATTGTGTAAGGAATATGTGGTTATCGTTCTCTATGATTATTTATGTAGGTCATGCTGAAACCGCTCATAATCGCATCGCATCCGTCGTGTTGGGATTTAAGGAGGCTTTGCTTGAGGAAGCTGAAAAGAAGAAGGATAAACAAAAGTGAGTTTTATTCATCTTCATCTTCGACTCTTTCTCACCAGTCAGTAAAAATCGAAATAGCCAGAACAAAAATATGTTCATTATGCCGTCAGAAATTTGAATGAAAAATAAAATAAATATAAAATGATATTCTGCTTTTATTCATTGCAGTTGGGAGATTATTATGCGCAGAATTTTCGTAAATATTTTAATATTATGCTTGTTGGTGCTTTCAGCATGGGCTGTAGTTAATGTGGTCAGGCGGTAATGTGTTCATGATTTTACGTGAAAATATGCACCCTTTTCCGTTCGGATGAACGAATTTTTTTAAAATCCATTCGGTGTTTTTGTTTCCTCTGTCTGTGTAACATTCTTGTTGCCGGCACATTTTTTTTTTAGATCAGAAGGGGTCGATCCGAATAGCTCATATTGGCGTCAGAATGAAACTAGCTTTGTCATGACTGTGATTTCGTTTTTCTTTCCGCCATGCTTTGAAATTCTTGGCCTTTTGGAAAAATATCATCCACGAAAGCAATTGCGATGGCAATTGGGACGGTATGCACTTATATATATAACTGACTAGTTAACCACGATAGTATGTATCGCCATAACTTTCAAACTTCGAGTTGGATTTGGTGAAAGAAACGCATTGGGTGCAATTGTTTTCGCAAATAAGAGGAGACCCGAAAATGGCAAGTAGTCTTAAAATGGGAGTTAATTTGGTATATTTTTCTGCATCAAATGTGTTTGTTTTTTTCGAAGTTTGAAAAATGTGGTAAGACATATTTCGATTCGTTTGTTCCATTTTTGAGCATTTCTCTCATTTTATTACTTTCAGAATTATGTTATTAAATTTGCTGAATTTATTTTCGCTGATTTTTGCGATGTTCAAGAAAATTGACACAATCAATAAAAAACTGGATGATATGCGAAATGATTGTATGCCGAATAAAACTGGAACAGATGGAACAACGATGATTCCAAGCTTTGCCACCGACATAACCACAACCGCCACACTGTTCACATCAACAGCTAAAGCAATCGTCGAACTAGTGCCCACTGATTTAATAGCGGAACTCACAACAATCGCCAAGAATGCATTCAGCGATAATGGTAAAAGTGTAACAAAATGCGTTGAGGTTGTAGTGAATTGCTCAACAATTTCAAAAAATACAGTCACATCATTGGTGACAACACTTTTGATGGTAAACTTTACAACAACAGTTTTACCAGAAATTATGAAACAATTAAATAGCACCGAATTTGGCAGCACTAATCCCAATTGGGATTCCAGCATTTATGCCTCAAGCAGTTACAGCACTTTTGATGAAAATACCACTGATGCTGATTACAATTTTACCACATACAGCAGTAGTGGTAGTGTGTTTCCATTGGATAGCAGTACAATGAGTATTTTATTCAAAGATAATGATTTTGAGACCACGACGTCATCTTCAGATTATTATGATGATGAAAATTATGATGAATCCAGTACGTTTGAACCCGGTACGTTTGCTTTCAGTCATATTTTTCATATGACGAATTTTATGACGAATATTTTTCGATGTTATCAACAGAAGTGATGCAAAAGAAAAGTGAATGCCATTCATAAAACGTAGCAAATGGTCAAATGATAACACAACTAATTGGTATTTATATTCTAGATGAGGTTGGACGTTCCCAAAGGGATGTTATCAACGAACCGAACGATGGACGTAAAAGTGATTTTTCTTCATACGATTATCCATTGTATATGAGCAGCAGCAGCAGCACAACGAGTGGTCTTTATGAAAGCACAACGACAGATATGTACGATATGAGCACATTGATATCCACAACAGTGTCAACATTTCTACAAGATACAACTGAAACATTGGATCCGTACAATGCAACACTAATGTCAGAGCAGTTTACTGAATATATTACGACCGCAATTAGTACCGAAGATGATAGTTTTGATAGCACAACCGAGACATCCATTGACAAAAAATGTATCGACAACCCAAATGGTTCGTACATTAAACAGATTTGTAACGACATCGACACCGATTTAACAACAACACCAATGACTAATGAAAGCCCCATGGAAATGCGCTATCCACTAATAACACCGACACCAACGCCATACGATGGCAATGTGGCCACTTCATCAACCACAGCTGCTTCATTATCTAAAAATTCAACGAATTGCGTGCCACTCGCGCCAAGCAAAGACGACAAAATCACTTGCGTGCCAACCAAATATTTTGGCATCCAGTTAACAGAGAACATTGGTAATATGACCGAAACACATCAAAGAGAGTTGCGTGTCCTTTGCTGGGAAACAATTTTCGGTCAAGAATTGGTAAAATTGACGGTGCTCGATTTGATTTTTACGATTTTTGCCACGCTATTTATGGACTTTTTTCGCGCGCTTTTTGTTCGGTTCATGAATAAATGTTGGTGTTGGGACTTGGAAAAGAAATTTCCAAAAGTAAATAGAATGTTCAAACAATTTTAATAGCTTTGCACATTTTCATTTCCACAATTCTACACTTTGCATTCGTATCGTGCCCTCTATTTCGTCCATTTCAATTCATTTCTTTTTCATTGTTACAGTATGGTGATTTCAAAATTGCTGAAAATATTTTGCATTTGGTGAACAATCAAGGTCAAGTATGGATGGGAATGTTTTTTGCTCCTGGTCTCGCAATTTTAAACTTAGTTAAACTCGGAATTTTAATGTACTTTCGGTCTTGGGCCGTTCTTACATGCAACGTTCCACACGAAGTTATATTCAGGTTCTATATAGCATAATATTTGTATTTTATTTCCGATTTTTTTTCTCTTTTTCTTTTAAAACGCAATTTATATATTATTCAATGTTCACTCTTTTCGCATTTTCGACAGAGCTTCGCGTTCCAATAACTTTTATTTGGCATTATTGCTGACGATGTTGTTTTTGTGCGTGCTTCCTGTTAGCTACGCAATCGTTTGGATAGAACCATCATGGCATTGTGGTCCGTTTGCCCATCACGCACGCATCCATCGTGTCTTTACAGACACATTAAAAGACAGATTACCACCGTAAGAATATGTTGCCATTTTTGGTTCTGTCGCTTGTACTTTAATCGATAAGTTTTATTTTCGTAGAGATTTGCATACACCATTGGATATAATTGCATCGCCAAGCACCATAATTCCATTGTTGTTATTGTTGATCCTTATAATTTACTATTTGCTATCGTTGACTGGTGCACTTCGTGAAGCGAATCAAGATTTGAAGAATCAATTGCGTCGTGAGCGTCAAGAGGAGCGCAGAAAAATGTTGCAACGTGTTGTCAACGCAAAATTGGATGATAGCGGTGGCAATAATGCAATGGATCGATGGAGAAAGGTATTGGAAGCATCATCGCCAATCACACCAAATGCACCCGGTCAACCATCCGAACCGGATGAAGAAAAGATTAAGGCCAGACGTGAACTATTGGCCCGAATTATGAAAAAGGCATTGCGTAAGAGTTCAAATACATCGGATGATGAGAGTCATGTGGGCGATGATGGAGACGATGGTGATGAAACCGATACTGAACAACACGAACAACTGCCACATGATCAAGAGACTAGCATTGAAAAACGTACGCCCGTTAAACAAAAAAGATCAACCAATTTCATGGACGATAGAAAACCGGAAAGTTTTCAACTACAACAGCCGCCACAGCAACAATCGCGAAAACTATCGTTTACTCGAATGCGTGATATTGTTGAAATGTCACGACGTCGACCCAGCGAACAAGTGTCCGATGAAACGAGACTTATCAAATCCACTGTTGTTGAGGAAAAACCAAGGAAAAAATCGACAAAACCCGACGAAAAGTTCAAATTGCACGACGACGATTATAATAAAATGAATGTCGTATCCGAACGACGTGCATTGCGTCGTCAACAAAATGCACGAGAATCGGATGGAAGTTTATCGCTTCAAACGTCATTGCAAGATTCCGCCAATTATGACACTGCTCTCATAAATGAGAAGAATAAAATTACGGAAAAACAACATGCAACAAAAACAAAATCACCACCACCACCCATGAGCATAAGTCCGGAAATATTCAAATTTGATTCAGGCACCGAATGTGCACGAGAGTATAGTAGTAGTCGTGATATTGATGAAAGTGACACAGATCAAACGAGCTACAAGGAAATCACACAAGACACCATTGTAAAGCGACAAGGACATTTGTCAAAAGATAGTTCAAGTTCACTCTCAAAGAACGTATCGCCGACGACATCATTTCAAATACATTCATCGAAATGTCAAGAACCAATTTCATCAACAAATGTGGCGATGCCACGTGGTAATGTCGATCAACAACGAAAGGAACAAATGCATTCGACCACACCGCAACAATCACCATCACCGTCGGAGAAACTCAAACAAACGGATGATATACTAAACAAACCGATACGCAAATTAAATTCATTTTTAGCATTAGTGCGTGAAGCGGTGGCGGCAAAAAAACAAGAACAACACGACACCAATGATGATGCAAACCATCAACAGCCCGATTTACAATCGCGTGTAAAGACTTACATTGATGATTCAAATTCGGTGTCAATGTCGGAAAGTGTAAAAACAACCACCGAAACATCAACAGCGTCATCGAAAAATGCAACATATTTTGAATCAATCAGACGAAAACGTCATCAAGAACCACCAAAACCAAAGCGACAAGATTCACAAGGATCGATTTGGTCCGAAAATATACCGCAAATTTTAATTAGCAAATCGGAAAGTGATGAATGCATTCTTGAGAAAGATAATGACGAACAAGAATCTCGCTCAGACGAAAAATGTGCTAAGCACAAAGCACAATCAAAAGAGGAAAAAAATATTTAGTTGGCAACGAATACCCAAATCAAAAATATCAATTCAATTTCATTTTATTGCCACACACACACATACACACACACAGTATATAAAATATAGTAAATCTTAATAACTTCTTCAATAAATCTCTTAATTGCTGTAGTATTTATTTAATGAATGAAATGTATCGGTAAGCCGAACGCAAATAAGAATCACACACGCACATACATACTCACACACCTATATGGACACACAATTATAAAGACAAAAAAAACTTGTGAAATTGACATAAAATCGGCTTTGTTGAGAAATCATAAACCGAAATAAAAACGTTAGATTTAAAGGGAAAAAAATAATTATTATGTTGTGGGCACTGAACAAGATGTTAAAGGTTACACGCCATTTTTTTGATAAACGTTTGATTAAAAACAAATGTTGGTCGTTAAATTCTGTAGAGATTTTGTTCCTCTGGTGATATGTATGCCACATTAAATTATCGCATGTAATATTAAATTAAAAAAAAAATGTTTTCCTTGCGTTGCTCTCCCACCACCAAATATCATAATGTATTCCTTTTAATTTTCGGACTGAAATCTAATAAAGCATTTTGATTACCGTCATTCTCGATGAGTTTTATTTACTATCCGAAACGACCATTAATTTACAAATTAACCTGAATCAAACCGGAAATAAATGTAATAGTATCAATAGTTTGTTTGTACCATAAAAATTAGGTAAGTTGAAACGTCTATAACGTAGACAATGAATGGATATACATGTATAAGAAACCTTACAAATAATTTGTATTTGTAAAACCTTTCATATCGTACAGTTGATGGGATTTATCGAAAGTTTTCTGGTCTGAAGTCCATCTAGCGAAAAAAATACATTCCATTTTTTACTATCTATCTCTTCAAATTCAGCTGTTTGAATAGGAGTATTTTAAGAGATTAATTTCATTTATTTCATGATTTACTCATTGTGACTGTAGTCAACCTTATTCTATTTCAATGAAAATTAAATGTGTACAAAAATGTCGGTTGAAAAATCGAAAGAAAAAAAAACAGAACATTGCCATGTAGCTGATAAGAGAAATGAGATATAAGTTAGAAAAAATTTAACAACAACAACACATGAAATGATAAAGGAGGCTTACAGGCTTACTGTCTGTGACTATATGAATGAAATCTGATTTCGTCAATCGACTTGACTATTCTAACGATGCTCTGAGAACTTTTGGTAGACAACCGAATTGCTGATTAGACAGTAAAAAAATGTAAACTTCAAAAAGATTTTTTGAGTATTACCCACGCACACACAGAGATAGAGATACTTCACATGCCGTATTATTTGAATTTAAAAACGTTTGAATGCATTTGTTTATTCAAACAAATTCACTGGAGTGACGAAAAAAGAGATGAATTCGATCTCTTCAAACGTAAAACATCAAAGCAAATGCGCACATTTCTTTCGTTGGATTCAGTCTTTTTTCTTTCTCTCTCTCCCTCTCTCTCTCTGTGTTGTTTTGGTGCTGCATGATCCTGTGTATTGACGATGATTTTGTATTGCCGCTTGATTACATTTACATGCTACACGATTCGTTCGGTCGTTCGCAGTGATTCCATGAATGTATGCGGTATCGAATGCGTTTATGTAATTGCTTATTTTTTTACATGTTGCGTGCTGTTCGCTCTGCTGATCGATGTTCTATGTAGAATTTGCTTGTGTTTTATTTTTGTGTGTCTGGCATATTTTTGTGTGTGGCCACATAAGCTAAACGAACGATCGTTCGAGTTTGTGTATTAGGAGATTTATGCTATGCGACACCAACGACGAACCAGTACGGAAACATACCTCACACACACACACCACGGACACATATGATTTTTGTCTAGTTTTAAACTGAAATTTTCAAGAGATGCGTTTTGGTAGCATACAAAAACCTCTATCGACTTGTGTGTGTTGTGATCGTTTTGCTGGTTCATTCGTTCATTAACTCTATCTCCCTTTCTCTCTCTCTGTGTGTGTCTCTTTCTTCTGCGTGCGCGCTCCATGATCTCTCTGTGGCTATTGCTCGGATTTGCCTATGTATGCATACAATGTGCCTGCGCACTTAAAAATCACTCGAAAAGGAATAAGAGAAGGAAAAAAAAAAATAACAAAACTAAAACGAAAAGAAGCAGAAAAATACGGTCAATATGTTTTCTTTGGTTCGAGAGGCGCATGTGTGTGTACAATATATAGATTGAAAAGAAGAAGAAAAAAATGTGTATTTCGTGCATGCGCTTATGTGTTTGTATGCACTGCGAGAGCTGGGTTCCTCTTGCGCACAGCAACTCCAATGCTTCTCGGCCGACAAGCAATTGTAAAGTTCAGTTTCGTTTTGGTTTTTGGATACACAACAGGTCACAACTAATAGACACTGACTTACGGTTCGGTTTACTTTTGTTGTGTAGTTTGTTGGTTGTTTGTCAGTCGGACGAGCAAATCCACTCACAAAATGTAATTGAATATTTTATATTGGTTTTTATCGTAATTGAAAGTTTGAAATAATTTGTGTTTGATCGGAGTGAAATTGAATTTAAAAAGAAGAAAGATTCGTTTGACAAGAGACAATCAAATTATCTGGAAGTTTTTCAAAACAAAAATCACAGCCAAGATTAATCATTTAACCGTTTAAGCAACATGTGAATGAAAATTTGTTGTGCTGAACGAGTGAAAAAAGTGTAGTTTTAATCAAAACTATTGAAAATGTGTATTTGTTAAGCGGCACCAACGACTCATCTATAAACAAATCTGAATCTTCAAAACTTTAAACTCCATATGAAGATTTTAAATGCGGCAAATCATGCGTGTGATCTTATTCTCACAGAATGTTCTTTCATCTTCCTAAAATCGATTTCGAATGTTTAAAAATTTTCTTATTCTCTTTATTTCTTTTGCTGTCATTCAATCGTCTTTTTCCTAGTTAATAGTTTTTTTCCTTCAGTTTTCTTGAAGATCTTGTGACTATGTGTATGTGTGTGTGTGTGTGTTGTGGTGATAATATTACTTTCATACTGATTTACACATTAAATGAGCCGACAACTTTTTTTTCATTTTTTTTTCTTTTTTCGTCAACAAAAAGAGTTTTAAACAAAAAAAAAAACGAAAATAACAATGTATTGTATAGTAAAGTGAGTGCTAGTTACATATTTATCGCAATAAAACGGGAAACATAAGATAATGAGGAGTGGTGTGTTTATGAAAAATAGCTTGAAGCCCAAAATGAATTGTGTTTGTATGCACGAATATGATCGATCTTTCCGTATTTTCAATATACGTGCATTTATGAAATGAGAAGTAAAATAAGAGTTCAACTCATTTAGAAAATGTTCAGCATCAACAAAATAGCAAGTAGCCATCGTTGACGAGTGCGAAAATGCATTAAACATTCATTGCCTTTTTCGCATAAAATTGGCGTAGTGTGTCTGCTATGTAAATGCAGTCTATTCATGCACAATCTGTATATTATGAATTTGTTCGTTCTATTCTTTCTCTTTCATTCTATCTATCACACTCTTCCTCGCTCTTTCTCTCTTCATTTTTCTCTATCTCGAACACAACGGATTGATACATTATCCCGTTTCTTGCACCAACAATTATTTCTGTCTAGGAATCTCGAAACAATTATTATGCGCTGGACATTTGCAATGTGTTTAGCTTCGCTTATTCGCAAAATTATTTGAAACTATTACACCCAGGAATAAATGTGAATAATCTCGATGATCGCTTGGTTGTCGACAGATTTCATTATAAATAATGTACGTGCCCCATTGTGAAATATGGATATGACTAAAAAAATTCAGAACGAAATAAGAAGAAATCAAGAGGAAGTTTCATATATGGTAAAAGATAAGCCACAAATTTATAAATATACAAAGGCACTTTGAAGTAAACTCTCATTTATACGAAATTAGTCGGCTACAACGTCGATCATCCGACTTTGTTTATTATTAAGAACGATACGCATAACCATGTTATTTTGTTTGTAGAACTTTCTCATTCCTCGGTCATTCAATGCAATCATTAATAAAGCAGTTACTTTTCTCCTCTATTCCGATTGAAAATGATTGTGCTAAAAAAAACGAAACGGCACACATGAGAGAGTGTGTCATTTTTCATTTCATTCTCTATCGCTCCGCCATGGGAACTAATATACAATGTAAAAATTATATTCTATGTAAATGCGATGATAGTCAGATCCAGAAGCAAATGAACATGATTTAAATTCCATTGCAAAGATTTTCTAATCATATTCAACCGAATGTGATGAGGAAAAAAATGAAAACAAAATAGACATACTTCCAGATAGATAGATGCATAGAGAGAGAGAGAGAGCGAAATATTAAAGCGGGGAGAACGCCAAGAGATAGAATATATCCTGAAGTAAACTGAGAACATAACTGTTTTTCCATCGTTTGATATTTTTATGACATTTCCCAAAAATAGATTCAAACCGTTTCATGTCTTGAAAACAGTCAAGAATTTAATGTTTAAAAGCAGCAAACACAAAACCGAGCGCATGTTTTATTTTATGCATTCAAGATGTTAGCATTTTTCAGTTAAACTGAAATAATTACATACACGAAATTCGAACCGCCACACACACACATCCATAACAAAAAAAACATACACAAATACACAAACATTTCAAAAGAGCTCCGAATATAAGCCTGACTTCGACGACCACATAATGTACGATCGTTTAAAGAAAATACTCGGTCGACTCGGGTGAAATATTGATAGAAATTCATAACGAAAAAACAAAACCTCTTTGACGAGAAGAACAACAGACCAAGAATAGCAACAAAAAAATAAATAAATGTTTTTATAGCAAATGGGATGTACTGAATCGAATGACATCACACGTCGAATAGAAAGAGTTGAATTGTACAAACTGTTGTCTTGCAAAACATGTGTCTTACGAATGTTGAATCTTTTTTTTCACTCCGATCCAAATAAAAAAAAAACTTTTAGAGTTCATATTTTGTTCGTGTCAATGATTTTTTCCCTTTTTCATGTTGTTTCATTGAATTTAGCGGTGTGGTTTGTTCTTGATAAAATGCTGAAGTCGTACTGAAGTGAAAATGTTGTTGATTTTAGCATAGCACTTTAATCTATGTTGGCAACGCGACAAAACGGAAAACGGATAGTGGTGAAGTTAAAAAAAAACATACACACTCGAAAAGTGTAAACGATAATTAAGATTTAAAACAAAAAAGTTTTATTCTGAAGAAGAAACGAAAAAAACACAACGCATCAAAACGGAATACAATAAATAAACATGATGAAAGTGAAGTGGACTTTGCAGTGGCTATTTGTCAGCATAATATTAGGCTTAGATTGTGTACAAAAACTCAGTGCAGATGAGGGCGCGGTTAGCTATATACCGGCATTAGAATGCAATGATCCATATGGAAAGCCACAGGTACAATCATCAAATATTTTTACTCGTGCAGTTTCTTTTATTACTTTGCGTTGCAAGCATAAATTTCATGCCGAACAAATTGAACCGTACCCATGGCAATTTATTTAGTTTCGGCTTTCACGAAATTTTCCAAGAACGCAACATCATCGGTTTTTTTCTTCGTCATAATTAGAATTTTAAGGTTTTGCAGAGTATTTTGAGCCAATTTATCGTCTACTAAAATTTAAAAAAAAGATTTTATTTTAAAAGAAGTCTTACTTTTCGATTTTTCGTAATTGAAAGCAGAAAATTGTTTGAAAAAAACTCGAATCATATTTAAATTTTATTTCATTCATATTTTTTTTTTTTTGAGCATACGGTACGCTTGATACAACATTCAACGGGAAATCATTCTTATCTCATTTTCAAAGAGCCGCGTTCATTTACTTCTTCTCATCGTTTTTTTTTGTGTGTTGAACAAACAAAATGTCTTATTTATAAAAAAAAAAGTTGTTCAATTGATTAAAGCGATCATCATAGCGTATATGTTAGAAAAATGAACAGACAATTCGCAAACGAGTTCAATTCGGTTCGTGAATTGAATGTTTGATAATCATCATATGTTCTTAAAATAATGCCAATAACATTGAAAATAGACCATTTATTTTCAACATATGGCATATAAGATTTGTTCCAAATAAATTGTATGGAAACAGACGGCTCTGACGCTTATCTCGTTTGGCTTAATAACTTTTAATTGTCGATTGTTAAAAAAAAATGTAAAGCTAAAACAACTAAATGTCATGTTAATGATCTCCCCTAGCGATGTATACCCGAATTCGTAAATGCTGCTTATAATGTACAAATGGAAGCAACAAATACATGCGGCGAAAGTGGACCTCAGGAATATTGTATACAAACTGGATACTCAAATCGAAAGAGTTGTGACAATATTTGTAATCAAGGCGATCACAGGTCAACTTTCCTCACCGATCTGCATGAGCCACAAAAACAGACATGGTGGCAGTCAGAGACAATGTTGGAAGGAATTCAAAATCCGACACAAGTCAATTTAACATTGCACTTAGGTAAATTAACACACATTTTCATTATGATATCAACACAATTTCATCGATATCGCTCAATTTATCGCAATGCAACAGAAATGGATTTCGTATTGTTTTCTCTTCATGGTGACCTAATCATTAACGCGAACAAGTTTTGTTTCGCGTAATTCTATTTTCACTTGTAGCGTTTGCCATGAAAAGGCATCCATATGATCATGTTCAAACCAGTTTTTATCATCATTTCGAAATTGTTGTAATGAACGGCAATAAATGAGTTCTATCTTGAGAATTCGAAATAAATGTCATAATCTCACATAAAAAGCACATAATTTGTTTTTTGTTTTGCATTTTTATACATCATTGTATCAAGATGGAAAACTTAGGATATTTGCAACAAAAACGATCAGGAACACATAAAAAATGAATCGATCGGAAATGATTATGAAAAACGATTTGTAACAGTTTTTGTGATAGATTTTGACACTTATTTGATTGCGATATGTGTGTGAGTGGCCACATGACAAAATTCATAATATCGGTTGCTCTTAATTTTTTTTTTCTTTCAGGGAAGTCGTTTGATATCACATACATCCGTATTGTGTTCTATTCACCGCGTCCCGAATCGTTTGCTATTTACAAACGTCAAACAAACAACGGATCATGGATTCCGTATCAATACTATAGGTATGTACATGTTTTTTATTCTCAAACTATTTGATTATGGCTTAGTTTTACCACTGATAACAGAAACTAATGACCGACAAACAAATTCGATTTCGGCACCACGGGATTCAAAATATATACATGAAGAACTATTACAAACATTCATTTTTAAACATGAATGAGAATTGAAAATCTTATCAAATCGACGTCTGTTGTTAGGTTCCATGCTTATCATCACGTCCACGATTTTTTTTTCTTTTCTCTCTTAAATATTCTCATTACATTCATAAAATTTGGGAATCACTGTAGTTTTGGTATAGCACTTCTAATCTACTTAATATTTGAGTTGAAAAATTCTCTTTCATTTGACGTCGCGATTATGTCAAACATCAAAATGTTTAATGAAAAAAAAAGAGAAGACGATGACTTCGTAACCTTCATATCCTTTGGCTGGCTATGAAAATGTATGAGTAGATTTACTCAATTCATTCATTTATATGTGGTTCTGATTCCGGATTATTATTTCCAGCATACATATCCATTACATAAATTGATGACGCTAATTTCCTTTGCTTTTTCCCTCTCATTATTTTATGCGATTCGTCTGCACATATTTGCACACACACACACAATACAAATAATGATGACAACAACAACGATGGCATCAACAGTGCCACGTGCCGAGACACATACGGTTTGCCGGACAGTTTGTCTGAGCTTCGTACAAGCAAAAAAGGTGAAGCAGAATCACGTGCTTTCTGTACCAGCGAATACAGTGATATTTCACCATTGCGTGATGGTAACGTTGCATTCTCAACACTCGAAGGAAGACCCAGTGCATACAATTTCGAACACAGCATCGAATTGCAAGTAAACAGAGCACAAAAATTGATTTATTAATTCTTTCACATTTGTTGAAAGCACGACTTGTATTGCAATGCAATAATTGTCTATGCTTGAGTTCATAACCACACTTTGGGTTTGTCATTCGCAATATGAAATGCATTTTGGTATGAAAGACTTTGATTGAAAGTGATTTGAAAATGTTTCAAATAAATTTCTCCAACCACTTTGCATAAATGTCATCATCAGTTTTCATTGGTACATGATGACAACCAAGTATGGCGATGAACTCAATCGAAGCATTTCCAAAGGACCACTATTCAGAGTGAATATATTCTTATTTTCATTTCCTTTTTTGGTTCTCATTCAATTTGCACCGGAAAAAAGTCATGGGTTACAGCAACCGATATTCGCATTTCGTTGGACCGTTTGAATACGTTCGGTGACGAAGTCTTTGGTGATCCACAAGTATTGAAGTCATACTTTTATGCCATTGCCGATATTGCAGTTGGTGCAAGATGCAAATGTAATGGTCATTCTGATAAGTGTGTTGTTGGCACAGGTAAGTAACTTTTATTATTATTAAAGTATAAACACATTAAACTTTTAACTTTTATTTTGCAAATAAACAAACAAAAAACAAAAAAACTATACACACAAAAACAATTGACAGGATTGAATGGAGAACGATCATGGGTGTGCGAATGCAAGCATTTCACTGACGGACAAGACTGTGAAAAGTGTTTGCCATTCTACAATGATGCACCATGGGGACGAGCAACATCGAAAAATGTACACGAATGCAAACGTAAGTGATACCTTTCTCTTTCGTCATTCTTGACCATACGCGGTTCTATTACACATTCCAAAGCATATTATTATTATGATGTTGATGATGATGGTGAAAAGTTACATCTCATGGATTGGATGTGCACATGATCGATACAATGAAATGCGACGAACTGTATCGTATACATTCGATTAAACCAGAAAAATAACTTTCCATGTAGGAAAAAAGCGATCAGAGATTCATTTCCATTTTTGTCATTTCTTGCCATACATTATTTTTATGTGCAGCAACGATTTATCGTTGCATCAAGAATTCTCTCGTTCTGTTCAGTTCGAGTTTTCACTCGGCAGAGTGAAGAAGTTTTGACCTTTCAAACATTTCAAGCGAACAAAAACTGCATAAATAATTTAAAACATTTCGGCCATTGTTTTCGTTTTAACCAATTTTTCAAAGTACGCACAGTTGGTGCGAAGAGAAAGAATACCAATTACCGAAATTTAATCCACGGAAGTGACACTATGTGGCTTGTATATGTGTACATTGGATTTTTGCTGATTTCACAAACCGAACCATATTGGAATATAAATTCCAATGAAATTGATCAATACAAACCATGGAATACATTAAATCGTAAGTTCAACAGTCTTTCGGACATAAATCACAGATGTCAAAGATTTCATGTGCCAATTTTTTTCATCATTTAAATTGACTGATTTATTCAATAAAACCAAATTCAAACGAAACTTTGGATAAAGGGTGGTTGCGCTAGTCATCGATTAATATTTTCCATTAGAAAAGGTCAAAGAACCTTCTTTGAACGTGTATCGAAGTCATACCGAAATGCCGAAAACCATAAATTACATTGCAACTTCAACAAATCCATTTGCGGAAAACTGGTTGTTTATTCGCCACATCGCTGCCACTTGAGCATTGAGCAAATCAGTTTTTTAGCATGTCTGTTCTTGACTGTGCATAGAAGTTGACGCGAAACAACAAAATAAAAATAAAAACAACAAAAAAAAAGAAATTGTTCACTACTCTACGTGAGAGAGTGTGCGTGTGTGTAAAGAGAAAAGGTGAAATGAAGTACGTAAGTGAACTCGAACATGATGAATTGTCATGACACGTGATGAGAGAAGTTTTATTTTTACTTGTTGCTTTCCATTTGGCCATATGGTCATAAAATCTATCGAAACATAATGATAATATTGTTTTGGAACCATAATTTCCATCGTTTTTTATCGTAACTATTTCTAATGAATGTATTTTCAACTAATTTACAGCATGTAATTGTAACGGTTACTCGCAAAAATGTTTCTTCGACAAGGCATTGTACAATCTCACCGGTCATGGTGGACATTGTATTGATTGTGCAGCAAATCGTGATGGTCCAAATTGTGAACGATGCAAAGAAAACTACTTCATGCGATCGGATGGATATTGTATCAATTGTGAATGTGATCCAACTGGTTCTCGTTCATTGCAATGTAACAGCGAAGGAAAGTGTCAATGTAAGCCAGGCGTTACTGGTGAAAAGTGTGATCGATGTGAGGCCAATTATTATGCATTTAGTGAACATGGATGTCAACCATGCGGTTGTGATGCACGGGGTTCAAGCGATAATACACCATCATGTGATCCGGATAGTGGTTATTGTTTGTGCAAAGAAAATGTTGAAGGACGACGGTGTCGTGAATGTAAGCCGGGCTTTTTCAGCTTAGATTTGGAGAATAAATTCGGTTGTACACCATGCTTCTGTTACGGTCACACATCCGAATGTCAAAGTGCACCGGGATATTCGATTGTTTCAACAACATCAAGTTTCAACAAGCACAAAGAAAAATGGACGGCCGTCGATGAATATAACAATCCGGTTGATTTGAAATATAATCAATTTAGTAATAGCATTGGAACTACTGCAAGAGGAAATGAGCATATTTATTTCTTGGCACCAGAACGATTTTTGGGCGATCAACGTGCATCATATAATCGATTATTGAAATTCCGTTTGCAATTGGTCGGCCAAGTCGGACCAAATCCATCGCCAACCGATGTTATTTTAGAAGGTGCTGGCACCAAAATTTCATTGCCAATATTTGCACAGGGCCACAGTTTACCGGATCAAGAGCAAAAAGAGTATGCATTCCGTTTGCATGAAAACAACGATTATTCATGGCAACCAAGTCAATCGTCACGTGGATTTATTTCAATTTTGAGTAATTTAACAGCCATTAAGATTCGTGCAACATATTCAACACATGGTGAAGCATTCTTGGATGACATTGAATTGCAAACGGCGAACAGAGGCACTGCCGGCAGACCAGCCACATGGATCGAACAATGTACATGCCCCGAAGGATATATTGGCCAATTCTGTGAATCATGCGCACCAGGATATCGTCATAGTCCAGCACGCGGTGGACCATTCATGCCATGCATACCGTGCGATTGTAATAAACATGCGGATATTTGCGATTCAGAAACCGGCAGATGCATTTGTCAACACAATACGGCTGGCGATAATTGTGATCAGTGTGCAAGAGGGTACTATGGTAACGCTTTGAATGGCACGACATACGATTGCAAACGATGCCCATGCCCAGACAATGGAGCTTGTATGCAAATGGCTGATGAATCGGTTATTTGTCTTGAGTGCCCAGTTGGATATTTCGGTGAGATTATTTTTTTTTTAACTTAAATTCTCGAATAAATTGAACAAAAATTTAAATCGTTTATATTAAATGTAGGATCACGTTGTGAACTTTGCTCCGATGGATACTACGGTGATCCAACTGGTCTTCTTGGTCCAGTTCAACTCTGTCAAGCATGCGACTGTAATGGAAATGTTGATCCGAACGCTGTCGGAAACTGTAATCGTACAACTGGTGAATGTTTGAAATGTGTCTTCAATACGGCTGGACCACATTGTGAACAGTGTTTGCCGGGTCATTTTGGAGACCCATTAACAATACCGCATGGAAAATGTGATAAGTGTTCATGCTATCTACCAGGTATGAATGTATCATTCGATAAACGAAAACAATTTTTTAACATTTTGTAAATATTCCATACATGTTTCCAGGAACCGAACAAACGGATGATGGCATTTCAATTTGCGATCAACTAACTGGAAGTTGCCGTTGTAAATCCAATGTCATTGGTCGCAATTGTAGTGAATGTCAAAATGGATACTATAATATTGTATCGGGTAATGGATGCGAGAACTGTAATTGCGATCCAATTGGAAGTTTTAACACGTCATGCGAAAGATCAACTGGACAATGTTATTGTAAACCAGGTGTTACTGGGTAATTAATTCAAATAATACAACGAATAATTTGCCACTAAAATATGATTTCGATGTTATTTTATAGGCTTCGTTGTGATCAATGTGCACCATATCAATATGGGTTCTCAGTTGATGGATGCAAACCTTGCGATTGTGATGAGAGTGGATCAAAAGGCTTCCAATGTGATGCCAATGGTCAATGTCCATGCAATGACAATGTTGAAGGTAGACGATGCGACAGATGCAAAGAGAATAAATACAATCGGCATCAAGGATGCTTGGACTGTCCCGATTGTTACAATTTGGTACGTGATGCGGCCAACGATCATCGCCATAAATTAGCCGATTTAAAGAAAAATTTACAACAAATCGCATCGAATCCAACGGTTATCGATGATGCCGACTTTGAGGCAAAATTGAAAACCGTCCAGGAGAAAATCGACATTTTGGCAGAAGATGCTAAATCGGGCGCTGGCGGCGGTGATCGTACATTGGTTGAACGTATCGATGATCTACGTGAACGTTTGGACAGCGTACAAAAATTGCTGGATGAATCGGATCGATTGAAAGATACAACAGCACAGGAAATTGAACTTGCCAGTCTTAATGTATCGGTTGCCGAAAACACCATTACAAATGCTCGTAAAACTTTGGATGTGAGTATACAATATACATAAAAAAATTGAATTTCATATCGCAAGAAAAACAAAAATTAATGAATCGGTTGAATAATGAATTTTGCAGGAAGCAACCGAATTATTGAACGCTGATGGTGCTGCAGCACTGGCTAGAGCCAAAGATCGTTTCGATCAGTTTGGACAGCAATCCGATCAAATCAGTGAAATTTCCCGTGAGGCACGTAATCAAGTTGATTTATTGGAGAAGCAAGCTGATCAGAGCAAACAAAATGCCGTGGAAGCAAATGAAAAGGCATCAAAAGCTTATGAATTGGCTAGAAATGCCATGAGCCAGCAACAACAAATCAGGTACATTTGAATCCAGCTATCATACAATTTGCTTAATTTTGTTTCTCACTTTTAATCTGTTTCATTTATTTTGTTCAATATCAAGTGATGAATTGCGAACAAATGTTCGTGCCGAAATCCAAGAGTCGAAGAGTGCATTGGAAAATGCAATTGCCCTGTCAAATCATGCATTGCAACAAGCGAACAAAGTTTATGACGAAGCATTGACATTAATTGCAAACATCAGTGCATTATCGGTGCCAGACATTAAATTGGAAAAATTGCGATCGGATGCAGCAAAGGCAATTCAAGAGGTATTATTTACGATTTATATGTTCAATAAAACAATCAATTATGAATATCTGTGTCATTGATCATAGGCTGAACGATTGCAAAGTGAAATCGATCGTTTGAAAAACGAGCATGAGACTCTCCTCGAAGAGTATGATGAGAATTCAGAACATGGTAGTCTGTTGGTTCAACGGTAATCATTTTTATTTTTTACAAAAATTAATCGATTTACGGCCAATTTTCATTGAATTATATAATCTTCTGTATATAGATTACTCACACAACAAGATGACGCAATTAAACTGTTGGAACATTTGAGTTTCATCAGCACCAGTGCTAAAGAAGCCGTTGCATTGGGTGATGGCACATTAAAAGAGGCCAACGACACCTATCAAACTTTGGCCGGTAAAAATAATAAACAGAAAATAAAATACACGAACTGTATATTAAGAGAGTTTTTTTCGTTTAAATGCAGGTTTCCAATCTCAAGTACAAAAATCATCCGAGAGCGCGAAATTGGTATTGGAAACGGTACCAGATATCGAAAATCAAATTCGTGAAGTAGACGATGTCATTCGTGAAGCAGAAAATGTAAGATCCCTTCATGCCTTTATATCAGAGTGTAAATCAGTGGCTGCACCTTGAATTTTTTTTACTCTCCAAGTGTGCTTCTTTCTTGTTATCGATTGACTAACTGAATTGAAATGAATGTTTTTGTTGCTTTTGTGTAGGCATTACAAGCTGCTAGTTCAAATGCAGAAGAAGCTCGTCAAAATGCACACGAGGCCCAAGAAAAATACGCTGAACAAGCATCAAACGATGCTGATATCATTCGACGCAAGGCAAATGAAACAAAATCGGCCGCTCATCAGTTGCGAGGCGAAGCCGATCATTTGAATGGACGAGTTGTTGTTACCGAAAATCGAATTTCAAAGCTTGGCGATGCCGTTAAAAAAGATAACGGCTTGACTGACGAAGCCAAAGAAAAGGTATAGACCATTAAACATGTGCCTGTCAAAAAAAAATCAATCTGTAAATCTTTTGTTAAAGGTCGGACAAGCCAAATCTGATTCAGAAGAATCAACAGCTCAAGTGGAAAAAGCAATGAATGAAGTTAAAGCCATAGTCGATGAATTGAAGAGCTTACGGGACATTAATTTGGATGACTTGAATACACTTGGTAAGATTTAAAAACAAAATAATTGAAAAACAAATCGATCGATGATTTTGTGGTGCATCCATTCAAATTGGAATTGTTTTTGTTTACAGAAAAGCGATTAAGCGCTGCTGAAGCCGAAGTGAATCGTGCCAATTTACACGATCGTTTGGCCGAATTGGAACGTGTAAAAAGCGAACAAAATTTGTCAATTAAATCATACCAAAACGAGGTGTCTCAATTGGAATCCGAAGTGAATAACATCAAACTCATATCGGAAGCACTACCCAATGGTTGTTTCAAACAGCCACGCTTGGAGCCATAGAGAACAAAAAAAAAAAAACAACAAACACAAACAAAGAGGGAATCGCATCGAACATTTCACCTATAGCCAGAGCTAGTATTGATTTGAATGGAGAATATTAAGTAACCAAACAATTCAACTCATCTTTTAACACAAAATGCCGAGAAAATAATCTATAAATATTGCATGGATCGTAACCATAATTCCGAATTAACGTGGACAATAAACATGAAAATAGACAAGATAAAAATTAAAAAAAAAATGAGAAAATAAAACTATATTAATGTTTAGTGTATAGCTATATCTGCAGGAGAATGAAGTCCCAATTGACATTCAATTTTTTTTTGTTCTTAATTAAGCCATTCATGACTATTCTGCATTTAGGACATGAAAAAAAATATGAATTATACAAATTATGTTTTAAGTGACATTTTGTCTAAGATGAATAATTGAATATACCAATTTCATGCATTTTCATTTTAAGATTGATTTTTCAAAGTTAAACAATCAAACATTTTTTTTTTGTGTGTGTCAATGTAAGTCTTTGTAATTGAAAATGCCATTTATAAAAGCCAAAAAATGCAAATAAAAATTTAAACTATGTTTCGTTCATAATGGTGTGAGTCGGTGTTTGTTAATTTTTGTTTCCCACCAAAATGCATGTTCATCTTGTTAGGTCATCTCGATTTCACACTAAGCATATTGTCGGTGATGACATATAAAAAACAAAAACAAAACAAATATAACGGTAAACTTGTTACACGTTAAACATTCTGTATCAAAAATGTGTTGTTTGACATTTCAAAAGGTTTGCTATTGTCTTATAGTTGGTGATGATGAGTATATAGGTGATGGTGCAAAATTATACAATCAGCGACTTTATGTGGTTGGATGTGCATATTCGCCGTCGGTGTGGTGAACCCGTGAAATAAACCGAACTACAAAGCAAATCATCGAAATCAATACGCCGACCGATTTCCGTCAAAAGACACGCTGATCTGACTTTGAATAGTATTTTTTGTTGATTTTTCTTGTCTTCAAATCGTTCTATCTTTAATTTAAAAGTTTAGTTTTGTGATCAATCGTGTCAGTTTAAATCAGAATTTTGGTGGAATTTTGGCCAGAGCAAATACAAAGGACCTTTTTACAAAAGCCAATTTTGTTCCAGTAAATTTCTGTAGTGTTTTTATTTGTTCGTTATTCACCGTAAAATTTATATCAAAATGAGTCGTCGAAAATCGGTGTTTGAAACAAGTACAATAACTTTATTACAGCAAAAACAGCAGGAAGATATTTCCTCGAAAATCGATCAAAATTTGCGAGCTCTCGCATTACTGTGCCCAATGACGGACACCGCCAAATCGCTGTTAGTCAAGGTATAATGAACAATTCAAACAACAAATTTGATAATGATTGTCATTAGGTTTGAAATTTGACCAAAAATGTTCGTTGAAATTAAACATACTTTTTTTTCTCATAAGGATGCATTTATGAAAGCAAACAAAACGGCATTTCACAATGTTATTCATTACTTGGTGATGATCATAAATGCGAATGAATTTCGTAAGCGTTTTCGTTGGCCAGTTTTTTCATCGCGTGACGAAACCGATTTCAGAAATGCTGCATTGGCATATTTCAACGAATGCCAGAAAAATTACAAATGGATTTTTGGTCCATTTAAAATGCAAGTTGTTCTATTCCCTGGTGGCTTAGAATTTATGAAAATTGTCAACGAATTATCAAAAATGGCGATGCGAACAGTGCTCAGGGAAAACGATAGTCTTCATTTGATCAATTCGGAGTAAGTGATGGAAAAAGTGGAGCTAAATTGGAAAATGGATATTAATCATGAATATTTTTCAGTGGCTTCTCACTGCACAGGGCAAATTTAAAAATAACTGCAGCAGAACGAGCATATGCGGAAATGGAACAAATGTTCAGGTTGAATTAGTTTTTTTTGCTTCAAAATCACACCACATCGCACTTCATAATCTTATTTATTTCTATTGCAATAGACAAGTCCGCGAATTATCCATCCCAATCAAAGAAAAAACCGTTCATTTGTTGGAAGTATTTCGACATGCCGTATCAAATACATCAATTAGAGAAACGGTATTCGATGAGGGTTTTTTGAATGCCTGGGATTCAAATCATAGTAAAACAATCGATGAGAAAATCTTGCCAATAATTCAACAACTCGAAAATTTCAAATATAAATGCTCTATATTTGAGCAAAACATTACGGCCGCACAACCAAAACAAATTCATTTCGATAAGGACAAAATGAATGCACTTGGATTGTTAAAAAATACCGAACATTTCAACGCACAACTCGATTACGACAAACTGATACAGTGGCTAATATGCAACATGCCAATATTAATCGATACAATGCATTTTAAAGCACCATGGCCATTAGATCAATTGGAAATCGAGTCACATCTATTGGAACAACATGTACGTCGAGCAAATTCGCTATTGTTGCGCATTGATGCATTTGCAATGGACACATCATTGGAATTTAACACAATGAATGATAAAATGACAAGTGCAACCTACTACTGGCGTGAAAAGCTAGCGGAAAAACTGGTACTAACACCGACCATCAAATTGCCGGCAAAAAAAGATTTTCGCATTGCAATATGGGACGCCATTTATGTGGATTCAACCACAAACGGTCTTGGATTTTCGCCAACACGGAAACTTCAACCGTTGATCGAGGATACATCAGGTTTGTTTGACGTCATGCACATGCACACTCATAATAAGTTTGATTTTTATACGGTCGTTTTCAGGTTTTAGTGAAGAATTTGAATCTATTGATGTCACAGCAATGCGAACTGTGTCCACAAAATTAGATCCAATGTCAATGTTGAACTCGGCTATGAATCGTAACAAAGGATTTGGTAAATCGAAGGCTAGCCCGAAACGAACCGCTTACCGATCACCATCGCGATTGAATAACAACAATATGCCTGCATTCAACAGTACAATGCTTTCGAAGGATGAACAGTGGAAAAGCCCAGTCGCAAACGTAACGCCAAACCAAATTAATTTTAGTCCATTGGCTAAAAGATTATTTTCATAAAAAAACATGCACAAAGTTTTAATTCTTCCAAGAGCACAATAAAATATGTAATAGTATATTTCAAAGAATCAAATCTCACAGATGTGATTCAAGGAATTTAAAAAAATCACAATTCTTCAATTCAAATTTTCTTGTTTTTTTTTTTTCAAATTGATTTGTAAGGAAAACGAAATAAAATGATCTAAAATCGAAACAAATAAAATGAATTGCATTGTATGTATGGTGACGCCATCTATTGTCATGTATAAATTTATGGTTGACATTATGATATTGATGCATTTGCCATGTTCCAGCATTGTTTTGACATATTCAGTAGAAACGCCGACAAATCAGCATATTTTCAAATCAAATAGTTCAATCAAATAACAATGAGCTCCACCGACTATAAAAAGCCGAGAAAATTAGATTTTCCACAATGTGCCAAAGATGCACTCACCCGTATCGGTAAGAATACATAGTTCACCCGAATGCAATGGAAAATTCATGTTAAATATTTTATTTCAGAGTGTTTGTGTACGAGTAAAAAGAATCAAGAGCGTTGTCTTGAGCTCATCGCCGAATGTATATTTTTGGAGAAGAAAATTGATTCGTTGTCCAAAAAAACAAGCAATAGCGTTGGCCTGACCGTATTTCAAGAGTTTCAATTGGTTTTAGTGTTTGCGCAATATTTTTCGAGACCGGGACCAGATGTAACACGAAACGCTGTATTTTTATGTCTATTTGGAAACACATCTTTACCGCCGGCACGATCAAGAGTTTTAAGTAAATTCATAAGTACAGCAATCAGTGATTCTATCGCACCGGTAAGTCGATGATAAGGAAAATTTAATGTGTTTACTAAATATATGTTTATTTTATTTGGGAATATAGATTTTGTGTGCGGCAGGCACTTGGATGCAACAAGTCGGACCAAATGCAATGGCATGTCTGGAATTGGCACAACGTCTCATCGAAGACTTCATTATCTATCAGAAAGCCTGCTGTGATCAATTGAAATCATTGCCAATGGTAGCGCCGAGGTAATGAAGACACAAAAACGTTCAAAAAAAATGTAATGCACATAATTGTTTTTGGTCATGTTTTCAGATTTGCTGTGAATTTTATGACATCCGTAGCAGATCTATATTTCAAAGAAATTGGCAATGACATTGCAACACCGCCAGATACGCTAATTGAATTGTTTACCGAATGGATTTCGGAGAATCCCGACTTATGTTCGGAAACACAACTACCATTAGATTTGCCATCCGGTGCAATTCCAATGGCACTCATATCACCAATCGAAGGTCTCATCAGATGGTGTACATTATCGCCACTGTTTTTACCCTTGAATGACCTTATATACAGTAAACTTCATTTGGCTGTTCTACAAAGTTTGGTGAGTACTTAAATAAATCGAAGAATTAAACGGTGTCTAAAAATTAAACAACGATATTAACTTGATTCTTTGAAGGCATCACAAAATAATTCAACACCAACTACCATCAATGCGATGACATTGGGAACGATTGTCGACTCAATATGCAATCAAGCGGAGCGATATCGAATGCAAAACATAGACCCAAACACCGATGAACGAATGCAAATTTGCTTGGAACGATTTGCGCAATCCATTCAATTAGGCATAATGTCACGTGTAATAACAGGCAGTATACCACAATTATTGCATCGTTTAGATACATTACCTTCAAATACACTGCTCGCAATGGTCCTACAAAATCAAAAGCCAACGTATTTATGAGACAGAGAAAAACCGGTTGTTTAATTCCATACAATTTGTAATATGTACTTTAATTCATTAAAAAAAAGTGTGAATAATAAAATTCAATTTGACGTAATAACAAGTAAATTTAAGAGAAAACTTAATTAAAATGGTTTAAATCGTCTGGCTTTTTTCAACGCTTCAATTTTCAGTTTATCTTGTGCGAATTTTTTTCGCAAACTGACAATGTGCTTGTGTTTTGATTGTCGAATTTGGAACGCATAGAAATTGTTAAATTCTTTCTTTTCTTTTCCCTTTTCAATCTTATCTTCAAGTGCTTTCAAAATAGATTCTTTTTGTTGGAAACCGCCACCAGTTTTTCCACGTTTTACAACCGTCCATCCGTCATCATCCACTTCGGTTTTTCTGGCCTCTTCGCGTTCCTCTTGTTCACGTTCCTCAAATGCATGCATATAATCATCCACGTCGGCTTGTAATGCATTCTCATCAATAAAACTATCCATATACTGTTTGTTCCATTTATCAATGCCGATGAATAGATCCGAATCGCCATTTTCATTCGGAACAATTTGTACTTTAGATAATTTTAATGATTTTTCCAGTGATTTTGTCAGCTTAAACACTACGTAGGCCATTTTAAAACCGAGCACTTCATGCGATTTATTGAAATATTTCGATTGATCGGCAATTGAATTTGAATTCGAGTCATCATTGGTGTGTTCAATCGTATTTTCCGATATGAATATATTCTCTACGCTACCAAGTGAACTAAACGCTGATTGTAACTGCGATTCATTTATGTATGGCGGAATATTTATTATGAATAGTGTTTTGCCGATCGGTTTGTCGTCCGTTGTTTTCTTTGCGTTATGTTTTTGAATGAATAATTGACGAGTTTGTTTTTCATTGTTGAACGTAAATTCCAAATTCAGAACTAAAAATATAAAATGGATATCGTTTTTTTTTCACAATGTATAGCTTCTTATTTTTTTTAGATACTTACCTTTGAATCCTTTTAAATCTCCCATCATATCGAGATACTGCGGTTTTTTTTTGGCCGGTTAAAACACAAGTTTAGTGCATCGAATATAATTTCGGTACAAATGTGTTTACCTCACCATGTGAAACTTTGACACAACATTACTAGCAACATTGCAGGTTGGGTTTACACGACACATTCATATTTTTCATGATAGATGATTCATAAAAATATAAACGATGAAGGAAATTTAAAAAAAAAATAATGCCGAGATATAAATGGTAAAAATGAGTTTTTTATTGATAATTTATTTGTTCGTTAAAATAAAAATGCAATCGAGTGCAAATAAAAATTCATACAATGAATGAACAAATTGTAAACGCAACCTTAGTTTGACATTTTCCATAACCTCAATCAGTCCCTATTTACGAAATTCGGCAACATCAACATAGACGCTAAGTGTTCTTTGTACATTTTCTAGTAATTTTAATTCACAAGAACGCAGTGAAATTTCAAGGCTGGTTTTTTTCTTTGTTTCGCAAAAAAATCATGTCAACTGCAACGTTTCCAGTTGTTCATGCGGGTTTCAAGGTAAGATTTTTTTTTGCAATAAATAATTTTTGCATCGGAGTAAATTTTCGCATCGGAAAGAATGCGTATTGACTGATATTGTTTATGTACTATGTTTTTTTGTTGCATGTTTGTAGGATGTATTGTCCAATTGCTACAAATCAAATGAAGTCGATGTGCTGAAAAGTCATTTTGACAATGCCAGTGGCAGTGGAAATGACAAGAAAACCATACTGGATCAAGCGTTTCGCGATGTATTATTAAGTGAAAATGTGATTGGAAATACAGCGAATGTTGAAGCGTTAATCACATTGTCGATAGCGGCATGTCGTCAAGATATCTGTACATCAACCATTCCCGTTGTATTGATGAGTGATGTTTTTGATACGGTGACGCTCGATCAATGCGAACGATTATTTAGCTATGTGGAAAATAATGTATCGGTTTGGAAGGAGAGTTGGTTTTTTGCCGCTTGCAAAAATAATTTACTTCGAATGTGTAATGATTTGTTGAAGCGGTTTTCGCGTGCACAAAACACAGTATTTTGTGGTCGAATTTTACTTTTTTTGGCCACATTCTTTCCATTCTCCGAACGATCCGGTTTGAATATCATTTCGGAATTCAATTTGGAAAATTTAACCGAATTCGATGTTGATGCAAACGATGAGGTTTTGGATAGTGTACAATCCGAAAATATTCAAGTTAAAATTGACTACAATTTATATACGAAATTTTGGGCGCTACAAGATTTTTACCGAAATCCAAACCAATGCTACGATCCAAGCAATTGGAAAAAATTTTCAGGCGTAAGTAAAACACTTTATTCGATTTTAATGAACGGATTTTTCATGGTTGCTCATTTGTTTTTGGTCAATTTTTGCAGCATATCGCAAGCGTTTTGTCAGCATTTAGCAGTTTTAAATTGGAAGAACAACGTGGATCAGTACCAGTGGCCAAATCAAATGACGGCATTAAAATTGAAGATCAACCCGAAGATTTACAGCATTTTTTCGCCAAATTCCTTACGAATCCAAAGCTACTTGCGTTACAATTGTCTGATGCCAATTTCAGACGATCAGTTTTGGTGCAATGTTTGATTCTATTCCAGTATCTTACCTCGACTGTCAAATTTAAATCGTACGTATTTTTGTTTTGCTCAAACCACATTAGTAAATTATGATTATTTATTTATTTATTTTGGTTGAAAAACAAAACACGGAAATTAAATGATTACCAAATGTTTCGTGTTTACAGTGATTCACAAGTGCTGACATCATCACAAAATGAATTTGTTAAAGAAACTGAAGCAAAAGTGTATCGATTGCTAGAGGAAACTCCACCGAATGGAAAGAAATTCGCACAAACCGTACGACATATGCTAAAACGTGAAGAGCTATGGAATAATTGGAAAAATGAAGGTTGCAAAGGTCTGTCTATCTTTAGAGCATTTTTTTAATTTTTCCCTAAAATTGACACTGATTTTCTTTACAAATACAGAATTTAAACGTCCCGAACCACCGGCCGATGATCAAAGTAAAATACCAGCAAAAAAGCAACGACGAAATTTAGGCGATATCATTCATGATGCAACTAAACAAAATAAATTTTATATGGGCAACAGTGAATTGACACGTTTATGGAATTTGTGCCCCGATAATTTGCAAGCGTGTCGTGGTGAGGATCGAAATTTTTTGCCACCAATCGATACATATTTGGAACAACCACCAAGTAAAACTGATCCATCGTATGAATGGCGTGCACTGAGACTGCTTGCCAGACAATCGTCATTGTTCTTTTCACTCACGCACGCACCAATATCGGAATATTTGGAAAATGTACGGAAAAAATTAAACGAAACAAAATCAAAGCATAAGCCAGAGACCGAAAATAAAATGGACACCGATAATGATTTGATGATGGAAAATCCACAAGATGGCCTTGTCGAAGAAGATTCAGAGCTTCAGTCAACCGATCCACTCATTTCGGATGATGCAAATATTCATAAGATTATTACGGCAACCGAAGATCAGATGCGTGAATTATGCATCATTATCGGCAACGATTGGGAGAAACTCGGTGCCAAATTAGGTAAATAACATTTTATCCATAAGTCGGATTTAATTAAATTCAAATTTGGTTAAACGATGGATTTGGTGACTCATCATCATTGACACAGAATCATTATGATTAATTGACATAATCACTTTGACTTTTCTCTATTCGATTATTCGAAGCAAATTTTGGTTTTTTATTTGGATATTTTATGAAGATAATTCCAAACCAAAATTTATCATCTTTTGAGAGAATGTCAGAATTTGATTTATGTTACAGAAAACAAAAACAAAAGCAATGAATAATAGTTTTTACATTCAAAATTATATTTCCGTGTTTTTGATTTTCTAACCAATTGTCCGTTTTTGTATGTGCAGGTTATGGAACTGATGAAATAAAATTCTTCCGAGAATCGAATGAAGGTCAAGAACGTTGTCGCTACATGCTTCGCATTTGGCTAGAAGACGATACAAATACTTTGGCTGACCTTGCTTATACGTTAGAAGGCTTGAAAATGATATCCGCTGCTGACTGCGTGAAACGTATTTTGGAACCAGCCGACAAAATGGAAGACATTTCCGAATAAAACTCTACCATTTCATTCTAACAATTTCATTTTGTTATTCCAAACTACGAAACAAAAAAAATGTAATAATAAAAAAGAAAAAAAAAACAATTCGCTTTGATTTTGGTCTTAAAATTTAATTTATCAAATCACATCATGGTTATAGACAAAAAAAATGTTTAGTTTTTAGTTCTATTGTCATGTTAGCATTTTTTTCTCCTTTGAAAATAACAATATGTCTCTTCAATTGCTTTGGCTAGCACAAAATCAGAGTTGTTCCAATATTAATAATAAAAATAGCAATTGTTAAGAGACGCCTGTATCAAAAGACATCCGGGATATTGTTATAATAATAATTATTTTTTTTATTCATTTTGTTTATTGCTTAAGAAAGTGTTGAAATTAAAATCTCTTTTTGCCTAGATTTGAGGTCGACTTGGGATTCGTTTTCGGTTTGTTAAATTGATAACTGGCGCATTTTGGTATATGACGAGCAGCAGCCGCCTCATTAAATCTACGATTACAAGTCGGACATTGAACATAATCTGGATTCTCTGAAGGTGGAGGTGGAGGCAGGTCTGATAATTTTCCACCTTTTGCGAGATGCTGTTGAACCTGTTTCGCACTGCGAATAGCTTGAATAAATTCTTCGTGCGTTCGACGCCAGTTGGTTTTCTTTGACGACTCTTCCGGTTTTTTCTTCGTTTTCTGTGTTTTCTTGACATACACCTCAGCTTCGGTGCCCTATAATAAACAAACAAAAGAGATTTACATTCGTTTACACATCTCTGAGAGAGAGAGAGAGAGAGAGAGAGAGAGACGCATACCTGGACACGATGTTTTGTTGCATCAAATATCTTGCGCTTTTTAGTCGATGTTTTCTTGCAAATTGTCTCGTGCTTTGCAATACGATCTTCATTGAAATGTCGCCCGCAAATGCCACAGGCTACCATTCCTTCTGGTGGTGGACTGGCCATTTGAACCTTTGAAAAAAAAGCACACACAATCAAATAACAATTTACTTAATATCAAATTTAAATGGAAATTTTAACGTGCACACAATTACTAAAACTTTACAATAATGACGCATTTTACGATGGTTTCTTTGCGCCAGAAACGAATGCAATATAAAAAGATATTTACAGTGTCAGTTACAAAAAGTGACAAATAAAAGATTAAATATTTACTTTGTTGGCTGACGCGGTTGATGAAGCGCTGCTACGGGTCGATGATGAAATGCTACCGGAGGAAATGTTACCGTTGGTGACCTAGAATATGCGTGGGTAAATCAAAAGTCATTGAACAAATGTTTTAAATATTTAGTAAAATTAAATGAAACAGAGAGATTCAACAACAACAAAATAAAAGAAGAAATCGATGGGCACAAACTTTTCTAGCAGGTGAATTGGGCCATGACGAATCTTTCTTTTGGCCGAATGTCGATTTTTCTGGTGTCATCGGAATGGAACGTGTCTTTGTTAATTGTTGCGACGGTAAACGTTTATTTGTATTCAACGAACTGGCGCTGCTGTGCGCCATTGGTTTTCTCGTAATTACTGGTCCTAATTTAATATTGTTGCTGGTATTGCTATTGCCAGAGTTGTTATTATTTCCTACATTCAAATTTGCCATTTTCCTTTCCATTGCACCAAAACGTCGTCCACTGTCCAAACTATCGATGTCATCCAATTGCGAAAATATATCTACAAAAAATATAATTTTCAGTTCAATTAAAATGCGTTTTTTTTTTTTTCAATCAGTGCATACCTGGTATTTGTTCGTTTTCAATGTAGTCAATATCACTAAGTTTGCTCGATATGGCGTTCTTGTTGAAACGTTTATTTGTTGTTATGGTCGTCGCCTAGGGATTTACAGAAATGATATTTGTATACTTGTATTATGTTCGGCGTTAATAAAAATGAGAGAAAGGAAAAGTGCACATAAAAAAAGGAAACGAAAAAAAAAGTTTGTTTGTTCTTTTGTTGAGAATTGTGTTTAGTTCTACCAAATGTTGTACAGTCGATTTTATATGATTTTTTTTTTCTTTGTTTAAAAGTGTAAAGCCCAGTTTGATAATAATATGTGCGATAATATGCGTTACAGTACACTTACTTGAGGAAAATGTTTCATATCACCGCTACCACCGCCATGGCCAGACACCTTTAATGAATGTTCGTACAGTCCGTTTTGATTTGGGTTGACAGATCGCTTAACAAAAGTCTAATAATGAAAATAACAGAGTTGCAGAATGCAAATTACATAGATTCAACAAGAACGACCCCCCCTCCATCACTGCAATTCCGAACCCATGAACATTGAAAGTGTCAGAGGGACAGAAGGGGAGACATTATGATTACCGTATTTTTTGCTTGACGACCCGAATTATTCGGTCCATTTTTCGATGATATCGGTTGGAGTGGATAACTTTTATCGATACCGGTAACACGTTGACGACGTTCGTCAAACATTTGCCGAACCTAAAATAAAATTTCCGCTTTGAAAAATTGATTTCAAATTGAATTGAAACACATGATTCGACACGATAAGTTGAGGCGGCAAACTAGTCACGTGTATTGTAATAAATCTATTTGATCCGATGATTTTTGTTTTTGAATTTGTTCTCGAGATGTAAGATAATTACCTTGCCATTTCCAATATGGATTTTATTGTTATTATCGTTGAGATCAAGGGGCGAGACAGCTGGCCGTGAGCCAATGAATTCGTTTCGTTTTCGTTCCATTTCTTCGCGTTGCTTTTGCTGATAGCGTATCTGTAAATTGTAAACAACAATGAAAATTCATTCAACTGATTCAATATTGAATTTTGTTTTTGTTTCGCTGTTTGTGTGCCTCGGTTAAAATACTGAAAGTTTTTCGGGAAATTTTTCACCTAAATTTTCAGTACAGCATTTTAATTTAGAGCAGTGATTAAAACCAAACTTTCAGTATAGTGTGATCTTATTGGCAGTACTGTATAAATAGTGTGTTTCTGCTATACTCTCTCTGAAAACATGAATTTTAAATCGGCGAACGGTTTAGTATTTTTCAGAGTGCGTCAGGCTGCAAATGTATGGTTCTATTTTTGTATTATAAATGTCTAGATTTGCAGCAAAAACAAAATGTACCAATTTACGAAAAGTACAGCAACTGAACATTATTTATCCGTTGTGCCAATGGGCCAGCTTTCCGCCGGGCGACCTGACGGATAAATCATCTCAGCCATTTAAAATACATCTTGAAGCGGTTCAATATTCTCTGTATCATAATAGTACATTATTTATATCATACTGCAAATAGTATCACACTATATCAATAGTGTGGTTCTAATCACTGCGTTTCGAAATTTTCAAGCACAATTTACGATAAATATTATTCGAGAAAAATAAAAAACGCTTTTCATGTGATTAGAATGGCTGCTGAAACAATGTGTGCAATAGAATGAGTAGAATGTGTTTTACGACGTGATAATTTTGCACGATGAAAATTTAAAGCATGCCCATATCCATATATATACATATAAAACCAAATTTAAATTCCATTCATCGAGCACATCAGAAGGAGAGAAAAAAAAGCGTTAACAAAAATTATTAACGGCAAGCAATTTTAACACAGATTGAACCAGTTACAATATGTGATGTGTATAGGATCTAAAAAAAACACGGCAATTAGTTTGTTGTCGTTGTTGTTGTTCATATTTCGTGTGCATGTGTGTGTTCTATTACCCCCAATTCAAAGCCTCTGTCTCAGCGACACATGGATAAATTGAGTATTAGACCAACGCAGGTAAAAATATATAGAGTATGGAATTGTTTGCGCTGTAGAATCATACACGACATAGAAGCTTCGATTTATGTAGTTTCATCGTCATCGCAAAGAGACAAGAATTAATGGAACTTTGACCTATTTTTTCGGTATTTGATTTGTGCTCATGCTATATTTTGATGCCTATCATACACGTATATAGCTGAAAATTCAGATTCACATCATGGCATATATACAAAAGATAGAAAGTCGCTTCTTTCAACAGCTTTGTAAATTGGTGGCAAAAGAACTATGTAATAATATAAAAATATCCTTGAATATGTTACGGCAATAATTTGTTTATATATGTTTTTTTTCTCTTCTTTTTTCAAAAATGAAAAAAGGGACCAAGTAGAGTAATTGCAAAACTTTTTATTGGTTGTCTTATGCGTTTGTTGCATTAATGCAAATTAAATGTGTTTGACATGTTAATTATATGACATCAAAGGTGAGTGGTAGAATTTTTCCGCAATTCATATCAAGCACTTTGACAATGTCATTTATGTTCATTTTCCGATAATCAAGTTCTTGATGGCTTGTTAACATCATCAACACTACAAGGCCGTATACACATACTCACAGTTCAATTTAAACTTCAAATCACACATCAGCGTCGGAAGGGTTCAATGAACACTAATTTCAATTTTTTTTTCGGCCACCACGCCATATGTGTTTGAATTGGTTTTGTTTTGTGTTCGTTCATCACCTTCAACCTACTCGTTCGACCAATTGAAATGGACATTAATGTGTAGAAATGAGTTCAATTTGTTACTGAAATGGGCTATTTTCTAGTCAATTTATTTCGGTTATACATATCACAACGAGAGGATGATGATGGAAAGAAAGTGATAAGAGAGAGAGAGAGAGAGAGAGAGAGAGAGAGAGAGAGAGAGGAGTGGGAGTTGGAGGGAGTGGGAAAGAGAAAGAGTTTTCTGTTGTTAAATATCATGATGTATCTTTTCGGACCTCACGCATGTACCGCACATGCCATCGATTGGATGGTGAAGAAAACAACGAGCAAGTGTATACATAATTATCTTTTGAAATGAACATAAATCGAAAGCATGAGCATTAAATTAGTCATCAATGAATTATTAATGTATGTACCTCTCTATTGATTTGACTTACAATTATTGGGATTCGATGTTCAATGTAACGTAAAACGCTTGGATGAAATGTACTTTTTTGGCATACTTGTGGCATATAGAATACATTACGTTCATCAACATACATATCTAAAATATCAAATGGTCTTCCGAAAGCCCAAAAATCTATCACACAGCTGAACGCGTTAAAACCTATGTCAAATTTATGGAAACGGTACATTGAATATAGAAGAGTACAATTAAAAGAAAAACTCCAATATTCTTTTTATTAAACATTATATTCATGTGATATCGTTTCATTTCATTTTTTTTTTTTAATTTGGCACAAATTTTCAATCCGAACACAGCCACAATATTCTTTTGTACTGTGAATCACGAATAAATGGATAATGAATGCAGTGTACGTACTTGAAACTCCTTCGATGTCATTTGAAGATTATAATCGTGTTCAATGTAATCGAGCAATTTTCTGCCAGTCCAAGAGTCATTTAAACTGATACTAACACATCCATCTGAACTGCCAACACGAAGTGATTCGGCACTTTTGCTCGCATTTAACATTGCCCGTTTATTCTTCGTGCTAATCGCAAAAATTCAATTGAATTCAATCGTTTAATCGTCTTCGAAAATGGTTTCGGTTTTTTTTTTTCGTTTTATTACATTCACTTAAATTTCAGAATACGATTATCGAATGTGACGAAAAACACGTGCTTACAGCTCAAAAATCAGGGAGAAGAAAAACTGAAATGATTTTAGCGCTTTCAGCACGCAAGTATTACGTAATTTATGCTGGTTTCTTTTGGCAACGCTTTTACACCAAATTCAACCAAAAAAAATTGTCTCCCTCACTCACTTTTATTACATTTTCAACCAATCTATGTATATTATCACTTAATTCATTTTTAATGCAGGATGAAAGCCGACAACGGAAAACATTTTCAAAACATCGAAAAATGGGAGAAAATGTAAAATTATTGTCCCGATTTAAAATCAATTTACTTGGGGCGAAAAAACAGCAATACAAGCATATCAAAATGACAACAACACTATGGATAAGTGACCAAATCAGTAATAGCAGTTATGAGCACATCGAACGAAACGAGACTATATTCTCATCGACGAATATAGATAGTGCCATCGATTCAATTTAGTTTTTGTGTATTTGTCGTCATTTGTCCTGATACATACGTATACATATTCAATGTGTGGCTTTTTTATCGTCGCTCCTTTCTACTACTACACATAATATTACCGAGACACTATCATGTTTATATGTGCATTTCTTCATACAATTTTTTTTTTTATTTTTCTCTCTTTTTATTTCATATAATGAACACAATTGTTTCCCTCTTTAATATATTGTATGTGACGCTCTCCGCATTGTCAACATCGATTAAATCGTTCACATGTATTGCTCTGATATAATTTGCTTTCGTGTAAAATTTTAATGAATATACATCTAATTCATGTGTGGGATTTAGATTCCTTGTATTCTATATTGCAACCGAATGCTATTTTTAGTGGGCGACCTGTCACAAGCGCATTTTCATTATGTCAGTTATTGCTGCCGGTGATTTTTTCATTTTTCTATTTATCACAATTTCCACTTTTTACGCTCATTCTCTCTGTTCGCATATCCTTTCCATTGAATTCCATCGAAAACACAAACAAAATCTATTGAATTGATAGTTCATTGTACATTGTACAACCCACCTGGTAATTTTCCCCAGCAGCACATGTGTGCACCTTTTTTTTGAATACGAGGTGTTTCTCTTCTTTTTTTTTTTGAAATGCAGTAAAGTGCAGTGGTGGAAAAGAAAGCATATTTAGTTTTGGTTTTTCGATCTATTTTGTGCTTTGATTTCTTTTTATTTAAAAGTGATTTTTCATTTAGCACTCTAGAAGCAGAAACTCTCTTTCATTTTCTCTTTTTCTTTCACACTTTTCAGTGAAAAGTTTTCATCCAAATACAAACAAAAAATCTATGCATTTTGAATTATTCCATTGAATCAATTTCAATATAACTACGTACGGTGTGCAGCGTTCACTCTTTAAAAGCTAACTATCGTGTATATTTTATGATTCGGTGCTCTGCTTTTGTAGTCGTCGCGTTAGTTTTTTTGGTTTTACAAAAGCCATCAATGAATTTGTTGTTTTTCAGTTTAAAAATTCGTAAATTAGATTGCATGGGTGGGATGATCACAATTGATTTCGGTAGTAGTAAGCGCGAAATGGAACATTCATTTTAAATATTGATTGTATGTGTGGTTTTTATTTCTATTTTGCTGGTTGCGGTTCAGAAAACTTTTCGTCATTTACAACAACGGATTAAAAACATACAGATTGCTAATATATGGAATGAAATGCAAATTTACTTTTTTTATTCTGTCGATTTTGTGCCGATATTCAGTCTGATGCGTTGCATCAAGGTATGACTACATAAAAATGTGGTGGGCGAGGGGATTCCGTGTTTTGACCCCCCTCTGTCACACATGCGTCCGCGATTTTTCCCAGTCTACAAAATAAAAAAAGAGTTTTTTCCAACCCCCTTCGCGTCTAAACCACATTTATCCCCCCACGCAGAAAAAGTCTGCCCTATGAGATGAAATCAAAACAAAATCAAAACGCCATAATGTTGGAGAAATTCTAGTTGTAAATGATTACTTTAAAAAAGGGAGAGAAATTCCACAAACCGAACATTTTTAATTGATAATCAATAAACACATGGTAACGCTCAATATTTGCGAATCATCTTTGCTGCAATTTTTGTTTGTTTGTTTCACTTTCTAAAATACCGAATACAATCTGACTGGCAACTAACTTAATGCAATAATTTCATTAAAAATCCATTAAGAACGGAGCGA